TTCCTGGATGGTAAAGCTTGCAACCATGCACCTGACTCTTTTGACCGAGATGCCAAAATCCTAGCGGTATTAATTGGGGTGGTGGATGAATCCAGGATACGTGAACATACTTGATTAAAAATTGGGATTTCCCATGATGATTGAATAGAGGAAATTGTACTGCGAGGTAGTTCATCACAACTAATCGACTTCCACAAGCCTTGCGCCTCGGTCACAAGTGAATCGGACAAAGCAGTGACATATGAGGGCAAAATTAAAGAAACCAAATCTGTAGTGGCAAATGAAGATGCAAGGAAGCATGGAGTTGCTAAAGTTTTCGATTGTTTAATTCCCAAACCTCCTAATTTAACCGGCAAAGCTATTTCTTCTAGAGATAGAGGATTAATTTGGCAGTTTGTAATCTGTTCTAAAGTATCATGGAGCAAAGAATCGAACTCTTGTAGCAAGTGAGGAGATTTAAAAATTGGGGCTGCCCTCAGTAGGTATACTAATCGTGGAATCGCTAAAGAATGTTTCAAGAGATAATACGCAATATGGTTGGGAATGGAGTTTAATCGACCTGCCATATTAGAAAAAGCGTTAATCTTTTTGCGAAAAACGTGCTCAATTGATTCATACGTTAAAGGCGCACCTAAAAGTTCAGCATTTTCCTGAGTCATACATGAAATACCTGGTGCAACTGATTGGAAAGATTCTAGTATACATTGCGTGTTGGTTTGTAGACCTAAAACTGAAACCTCACATTTATCAAAGTTTAATTCTAAACCTACTTCATTTGAACACGAGATAATATGTTTGAATTCGTCTAAAACTGTAGTAGGATCGCCACCTAATGTACCATCATCCAAGTACCACATATTAAATTCTGACCCTAAATTTGAAACGACTGGATGTAGAATCAAACAAAAAAGTGGTGGACCTAACGGATCTCCTTGTTGAACACCTCTACATGATTCAATTAAAGAAGAATTCCAGACAAGGCTGGATGAGAATCTATGGCACTGATTAATATAAGGATACAAGGTTGGTACAAGTTCGTGAACGGATGAAAGCAATTTCCCTCTATCCACCATATTAAAAGCATTTTTGAAATCTATTTTAAGAAAGGCTGTGGGTGACTTATGTGGAAAGGAAAAGAATCTACGGGCAGCGTGTGCTCCTGCTTCAGCACCATTTTTTACATTGAAACCTACTTGGACTGGACTAAAATAATCCTGAAAGACATGATTCATGACCTTGACACAAATTTTTGAAACTATTCTACGATAAGTGCAACCTACTGCAATAGGTCTAATACCACCTGATTTCTTTTTAAGGGCCGTCAGACTTGCGCCATAAATGAAAGGACAAATATCTAAAGGAACTTTTCCTGCTAACATAAAATTGCAAAATTTTGTCATAGATTCTAACAATTGAGTTCCTACGTCACCAGTATGTTGTGAAACTAAATCTTTCAGAATTTGTGGTCGTAATGCATCTAAACCCCCTGCTGAACCACTAGGAAATGAGAATATTGCTGAGATAACCTGTTCTACTGTTGTTGTAAAAGGTGGAATGTTAGGCTCATCTAAAACAGTAAAATTATCTAAAGGTTGTGGTGGGTGCTTTTCTACAAGTGTTTCCAGAGTTTCTGAAGAATTTGGGGCGATAATATCATCTGAAGTTAAAAGCCGAATTGCAGCACGAATATTTCCTTCGGATACTTTAGATATGACTTTTGGCCCAATGTCCTTGATGGTGTTACCTGGTTTATCATGGGCTGAATTTTGGAAGAGAGAGTAATGAGATAATCCTGATATGTATTTTTGTCCAAAGATTCAAATATGGATAAGTTGTTTCGGATTTTGCTATTAAGGCTTTGACCATTTTTAATATTTGCCTTTGATTCACATTGCAATGTAATATATGGAAAGGTCAAAAGGAGATGCCATGCCTCTGGAGTGTTTTCACTTATACATTTATCTACGGCGGATTTAAGAACTTGGGCTACAGGGATCCTACAGGCCTTTGGACATTGTTTAAGAGTAGGACAATTTTGCCTAAGAGATGAAATGATAGTTTGGAAATCAAAAACCGAGTCAGCACTGTGTTCTGATTTAAACTGAATCCCTACGTAATGATACTTCGAAGTGCCATTAAGTTCTGTCCTAATTCGTTTGGTCCTAATGTTTGAAGATGAATTTTTTATCAATTTACCCATTTCTGCATCGTTAATGGGTTTAAAAATGCCTAAGGAGTCTCGTCTATAAGCGTCATGTAATATAGCTTTCTCAATTACCCCCCCGGGTACTATGTGGTTATTTGGCCATTCTAATGTAAGGGATGTACATGTTTCCTTGCTAGATATAAAATTTGAAAGTGGTGTACTTAATGTAGAAATTGGTTGTGATGCACGTGGATTTGTAAAGGGGATTGACTGTGTGAGTTGAATATGTGTGCCTAGATAAGATTGATTTGCTGGCGACGATGTGTTTGAGTTTATTTGGGGGCCTATTTGTGTATCTATTTGGGGACAGTTTGCGCAGAACCAGTCACCTTCAGGAATGGCCTGCAAGAAAAGGCAAGAGGTGTGATACCAAATTAAACATGCATTACATAGAATCCACTCATCTGTTCCAATTGATGATGGTCCTGGGCAGCCCGAAACCGGGCAGAAAAGGTCCTCGAAAACGGGATTCAAACCCTCGGTGGTATGGGGGAGTGGTTGGGAGGATGTGGGAGGAGGAAGTTTTCTTGGTTTGGTCCTCTTCTTCTGCTTATTCCTCTTCTTTCTTGGTCCTGGATGTGGTCGTGGTGATGATGATGACGGCGGCGGCGGGGATGACGACGATGACAGCGGCAGCGGGGTTGACGACGATGAAGATGACAGCGGCAGCAGCGGGGACGATGACGATGACGGCGGCGGCGGGGACGATGACGATGACAGCGGCAGCAGCGGGGACGATGACGATGACGGCGGCGGCGGGGACGATGAAGATGACAGCGGCAGCGGGGTTGACGACGATGAAGATGACAGCGGCAGCAGCGGGGACGATGATGGCAGCAGCGGGGACGATGACGGCGGCAGCGGGGACGACGATGGCTGTGCAATGATTTTTCCGGTTTCAATTCGGTAAAATACTCCGTTGAATGGTGAGCTTCTATCGAGATCGGACGACTCAACTTTCGCAATTTGACTCCCACCGACAAACTTGACCTGTGGGCATCTAACTGGGTGGATCGGGATGTTTCATTATGAGTCGAAACAGGTGAATCTAAAACTTGAATTGTAGCGTTATTTGCAGACAGTAGAGGGTTGGGGCATAGCTGACGACATTGCGGTGGTCTATTGAACAGTGGCATTTTGGGAATGATGCATCCAATCAATTGTGCAATTTTATAAGTTTTGAGATAGAACGAGCGAATACGATATTTTGTCTCTAAGAATTATTTGTGTTATGGATGTTTCTTGAGTTCATGAAAATATCTTCAAGGGAGATACATCAGTAAGACAAGGCTTTGCTTTGGACGCTTGACATAGTTTGTTTGATGAAAGTGACATGAAAGTTTTTTAAAATTGTTGATATTTATGCATGGATGTATAAGGATGAAGCGACGAGAGCTCTTTGTTCATAGAGTAAGGGGGATAACTTCAGGCCCGTGCCTGAGTGGTGGCGACTGTGTCCTATAGAAACTGATATAGCGAACTTGCACGCCACATATAGGACACAGGCCTTCTTTTCATCCAGCCTCAAATTGTGTCTCAGGTTCTGTGGTAGTTATTTTCTCTGTCAGAGCGCTCCCCTTCACTCGTTTTGATCGAGTCTCCAATTTAACTATGGTGTTACGAGGCATTGTATTTATGTGATATTAATGTGATATTTATGTTTGTCATTTGTTAATTATGATGTACGGTGTAATTGTTATGCATCTGTATAAAGTCTATGTATGGAGGAGACTAAATTTGTTGGGGTCAATTTTCCGCCATAGTTAACTGACTCACATGTAAGGGAAGATTCTTCCAGGGTCCATTTGAACCATCGCCCCCAGCGCCTGCACAGTTCCCCATTTTCTTGCAAAAATTTGTTGCAGGTTTCGTAAAAAAACAAAATTGGAAATATATTTTCTCTCGAAAATATTCTCGAGTCGTCATCATTTATTTCGTCATCATATCCTTAACTACGGACTTTGATTATTTATTTTGGTTTCCGCTTCCTCTATTTTTTTCAAAACACGCCAAAATTGTTATGTAATTTTAATGTTTCGCATTATTTATTTAAAATACTTTTCCTCATTCCGCCCAAAATCAAGATGCAAGCCGGAAGTAATAATAATAATAACAGTACCAGCAACGATTATTCTTGCTACCCACAAAATAGTGACGGCCCCACCACAGATCCTGCAAGAAGTGGACATGGCAGTGATTTTTCTGGCAGAGACTTTCACCCACTCCTCACACAACAAGTCCAATCTTGGCGAGATGACCAGCGGCGATGTCACCAAGTTGAGACCTTGTCGTCACCACGCCACACGCCACGTGCTCAACTTTACAGCGGGAGTGTGACCTACCGTGTCCCTCCGTTACAAATCCTTCCCGTCGACACTGCCAGAACGGTGAGCAGGCCAGAGTTGGTGGTTCATGGTCTCAAAGGTATCCTTAGTTCGAGTAAATAACGTAATTTACGTAGTTATTTAAAGCAGGCAGACTCATCACAAAAATTAGCACATTTTTGATCATTTGTCAGCTTTGGAAATTTATTTTAAAATTCTGGACGACTAATTTGTAGTCAGTAAGTCTATTACCGGAATAGCGGTGAGGTTTTTAAGCCAGTTTCCTGGAATTCCAATTTTTCTGAAGGCTTCATAAACTTGAGCTCTCCTCCTTCAAAAACTGTCAAAATCTGGAGTGTATGTTCTTAAAAAATTGCATCGATCTGCTCTACAGAATTTTGAAATAAATTTCCAGAGCCGAGAAATAATTAAAGACATGCTGATTTTGACGATGGGTTATCGGCTATATAACTATTAATACTGACCGCTTCCCCGTTTTAGACATGTGTAACCTCGTGCAAGCCTCGGAACCCCAATGTCCCGCATCTCGCTTCCGGATGGGGCCATCATCCTCCAAATCAAAACTAATGTCGCCCCCGATTCCTCCTCCGACCGCTTTTGACGCCGGACTCATCGCAACAGAACGAATATTTTCCACCCTCAATGTCGAAATTGATCAGCAGAATCGGATTAAATATGACAACACTGCTTGCTATGGTCATCGTCAAACGGACGGAGGTCACCTCATTGCGGAAGAAGAGGCAAAAATTTGCCAAGTTCTTCACGACATGATGACCCACATAAGTGGCGGTGGTGGTGGTGAAACGGGCAGCGGTGACGACACCGGCGGTGATGGAAGTGGCGGCAGATTTGGTCAAGAGTGCGCTCTAGGAAGTGGACCCAACTCGGCGCGGGGGACAATCTCGTCGGCACGAAGTCAACTGAACGCCTTGTCGTCACACCGCAAATCGGCAGAGTTCCCAACCACGACGAATTCTGAATATCTCAGATATGATGACTATCCATCTCATCAGACATCCATCATCGTTCCTCGTAACACCGGAAGCGAGGTAAATGACAATATTAACAATTATAAAACCACGACGAGAACGAGAAAAAATGTGGCACGGCATCATCACCACCGAGATCGTGAAGAATCTCCTCAAGATCAGCGGCAGCAGTATCAACCCCAAAATAATTCTGGTTCAGGTAATAACCAATTTGTCGATTACTACGGCCAGCAGCAGCAGCAGCAACAACAACTACCAGAAGTTTCACCCCAAGAGCACACTTATCCACTTCCAATGGACAAAGCCACGAGTACGAGCGACGTTCCCGTCCCATTTCCCATTTTTGGGTATTCGACCCCATTCCACGCTCAGCCCCATTTCCAGGCACCTCACAATCACCAGTACGCCACGACCCAGATGCACAATACTGCACCAAATAATTGTGGAATTTTGGCCGGAAATCACAACCATCAACAGCCCATGATCATGCCTCCAATTTACATCCTCCAAACCATGCCAAACCAACAAATGCCCGTTTTCCTGGTTCAAACACAAACTTCTCCCTCCTCGGGAGGTCAGCAAGGCCCCATATTTCTCCAACCAGTCCAATACCACCATCAGATCCCTGCTCAGCCCCCACCCCCCGAGGAACAACCCTCGTCGCCCGTGCAACACGCCTCCTTTCAGCAGTCTCAACAGTTCACAACCGTCAAAGCCACACGAGTAGAGACACGCACCACGGTTTTAAACGACCCCAGTCCTGCCGCCTCAACACAGTCCGACTTCTCCAAGTACGAGTACATCAAACAACTAGTTTCCAACGATGGACAGAAGCCAATCACCAAGAAGCAGCAAAGTCACACCTCCGCAAAACTAGCTCAGCACCAGCAAACCAAGAAGGTCAGGTCGACCTCCAAGAAACGAACAATTCTCGGTCACGTCATAAACAACAATGAGACCGAGTTAAATTCTTCACATCCCGAGAGGGAAATGACCTTCATCGTGGGTCCTTCCCCGGTCGAATCTATGCATGAAATCGAACTCTTACGAAATCGTGGCAAAACCTTGCAAAATTTCACATCTCACAGATCCACCCGAAAGGGTGAATCTTATTCGGATACGATGCTTCACCGCGACAGAAATACGAAGCCCGCTGCGTCCTCCACTTATCAACAGCAGCAACCGATAAGCGACGACCATCATCACAACGATTACGTCGACTTGTACGGATCCGACGAGGACGAACAATCTTTCGACCAACGACACAACATTAATCCCGACTTGCTCGCCACACCGGCGACGTCCTCGCACACCATCACGATCAAAACGAATGGGAAAAACCAGCACGGACGACCCTGCATTTCATCCAGGAATGAGGACGACTATGAATTAAACCGTATCGACGATATCCTCAAGAACGATAAGAACAATAACAATGAAGAACAATCACTTCCCGCTTATCAAAATCTGTCCAACTCCTCCATCCTGGAAGCCGAACCAGTCCGCCGACGCCCTCCACCCCGCACGGCACGCTTACCGTTACGAAACAGCAGAGTATTTCAGAAGAAAGGAGTCCTCAAAAAGCCACCGCCCCCTCAAAAAAAGGAGCCTCCGAAATCCTCCGATGATCTCAAAATTCATGGTCTCTATCCGACCACGGAGACGCTGGAGACGTGGCCATATCCAGATCCTGGTTTCATGCGGGACAAGAAATCTGTCACGGATCAACAGCGAGATCACGAGTCCATCACGGAAAAATCGGTGCAGGAAGGAATCTCCCTGATTGAGGATGGCTCGTCGTGGGAGAGGAACGTTTGTGGGTTGAGGGTTATCTCGGTGCAGGTTCAATTTCAGGAGGCCGCCGTTCTGGAGAGGTTGCCTTGTTTGGTTTCGTCAATCCAGAAGCATATCCGAGCTTCAGGGTATAATTATTTTTGGAAATTAGAAAAAAAATCGAAAATTGTCAGTAATTCGCTTCTTGCTACATTTCTTGCGCTGCAAGCAAAAAACGCAAAAAATGTTAGAAACTGCAAGAAATATGCGCCATCTAGCCACGTGTCATATGAAGTATCACGACGGGGCGTAGTTTCTTGCGCCTTGCATTTCTTGCAGGTCAAAATAGCTGCAAGAAACCACTTTCTTTCCGTTATTTCTTGCAAGTGGTTAGTTGTTTGCACCCGAAATAAACACTAAAAATTCTCTGTGTTAAAAATTCACAGTTCAAAACTAGCCCGACAAGCCATTCTCACCCTGCGCGACCTCTTCACCGTTCTCGGACCCCATTTCGACCCATTCCTCGCCGGAATGTCGGAACGTCTCTTTTCAAAAATGGCAAACACCAACAAGTTTATCAAAGACGATTGTGAAGCCACTCTCGAGTCGATGGTGGAACATTGCTCGCACCCAAAAATGATCACAATCCTGGAAAATGTCGCGAGAAGGCATAAACATTCCGCCATACGGCTCGTCGCTTGTAAAATGATTACAAAATTCATCACATTCGTCGGACCAAATTCCGCCCTGGAAGACTATGCTCATCTAATTTTGCCTCTGCTGTGTTGTAATTTGGCCGAACGGACGGGTGAAATTAGGTGAGAAAAATAGTCTTCAAATTGAAAATTCATATTCAATTTTCCTTTAATTTTCCCAGAGAGGAAGCTCGAAATTCACTCCGTCTTTTAGTGCCAAATCCAGATTTTGACGCTTTTATGCGACACAATGTCAGCCCCCAGTTTATATTTGCGATTTGCGAAAAATTGGAACGAATTCGAGGTAAAAATTAATTAATTATCCATTAATACATAATCAGTATAATAACTATCAAAATATTTAACCAGACGAGGTATCCAACCGACCCCATCGGCCTCTCGAACTTCGCCGGAAGCTAAGTCGGAACCACAGCCTCTTCAGGTTTAAATGGCAAAACCAACAGCACAAATTTGGTGGAAGTAGTAGCACGAACATGATGTGATAATTAACTTGACATTTAATAAGTACTTAATTATTATTCATCGACATTCTCTCTTCACATGTGTCCACCTCTCTAATTCATCTCTGTAAAAAAAAGTCTGTCGGTCCAATGTCAAATGGCAATTTAGACGCTAAATGATTCCAATTTTTGTAATGAAGTATATTATTTTGTAATCCAGAATAAATCAAGATGACAAAAAAATACGGAGTGGTGAAATCTCGTCGTCTTCAATGAAAACCTTAATCTAAATTTAAATCAGTTGCATCGACACAAAGTGCAATAAATACATTATGACAACTGAAATTACATATGTCTGCTTTGAGATGGTCTGCTGATTAGTATGGAAGTGTAACACGACAATCTGCATAATATTTTCGTTATGGACTTATGGGCATGCATTTCAGGTAGTTTTAAGTTTTCGCATGCATGTTGCAAATTGCGAAAACAAATATGACAAGTGAGTTTACAAAGGACAAATTAATTATTAGCCGAATAAGAGTGCATACAAGTCTTTTGAGCAAGTAGTTAATAGGCTGGAAGGAAAAAAATATATAAATAGCGACATGACCGTGGGTGGAGTACTTCAGTTCAGTCTTAACTTCATACATTTTTTAAGATCTCAATTTTTTGTCCCGAGTTAGCAGCAAATCGTCTAAAAAATCATGTTTAAGGTGAGTTTTTGTCATAATTTTTTTCGTCCAATTTTTCAATTTTTTATTCACTTTTAGGTAATTCTAATCACTGCCTCCATGGCGCTTATCGCCTTCGGTCGCCCTCAACAAGCCCCACCCGCCGCAGCAGCCGCAGGATCCTCCGCCCCCGCAACGGGTAACTCTTCTGCCGCGACCTTCTTGAAGGACGAGAGACAACCTTTGGACGACAAAGGCTCCTACAAATACGACATCGAGCTCTCCGACGGGACAAAACTTCAGCAAGAAGGAAACACCGAGGCTCCCGGGGCCGGAGAGAACGAGACCTCAATCGTCATCAAGGGTATTAATTCATATCTGCAATTTTTTACTAATTTTCGTTGGGTTGCTAAATTTCTTGCACTGCAAAGCAAGAAACGCAAGAAATATGAGTTGTAAGAAATTGCAAGAAATAAGTATGCAACATCTCGCCACGCGCCGAATGAAGTATAGCGGCGGAGCGTAGTTTCTTGTTTCTTGCATTTCTTCCAGGTCAAAATACCTGCAAAAACCATTTTCTCGCCGTTATTTTGCAAGTTTGCACCCGAAACACTGCTAATTTGTAATACTTATTTTCAGGTTCTTACTCGTACACCGCCCCCGACGGAACTCCAGTTAACGTGATGTACATCGCGAATAAGGGTAACAATCAATGATATGATTTTGAAATAAATCCCAACAATACAATTGACATACCCAATTTCTAGATGGTTATCAACCAACTGGAGATGTGATTCCAAAATCATCATCTAAAGCAGCAGCGTCCCCTCCTGCGGCTGGAAGTAGCTCGGCAGCCGCACCCCCAGCAGCAGCACCACCAGCAGCAGCAGCTTCCGCCGCCGCTGCGACACAACCAGCCCCACCAGCACAAGGATAACTCCTTATCTTAACTCATCACTTTATAATCTTATGTCGTCATACGTATAGACTCTTATTTTCACATTATGCACGCCAATACACACTCAAATAATAAAATCGCCAAATGAAAAATGATACAAATTCAGATGCAGAAATTTCTGCAGTATTGCATCGCATGCAACTATTTATTATTATAAAGCTACGTATAAATTATCAAGTACCATTCATCTATTAGCATGGAAGACTCATCATCCATCATCATTGGTACAGAGCGAGCCGTAAGGTCGGTAAAAAGATTGTGCAACAAGTAATTAGACAGTTTTATTTGCATTTGAAAGTTCCGAAGGTTTATTTTCCTACTTAAGGAGGCACAAGTTTAGGTCGTCGTGTTGTGAGTGATTCGCTAGTCACAAGTCAAAGTGTAGTATCAGTTTGGCACAAAAATAATACGTGTTTACATACGATGAACTTTTCGGTAAGCCAAATTTTTTCAAAATTTCCTGAAAAAAAATCAAATTTCTATCACAAATGCACAGATTATTTTGGTCGGGTGGAACTACTTTGTGGTCCTTCTTCTCATCACCTCTTCGGAGTCACGCCCAGCGCCAGATCCAGCACTTCCGCCGGTCATGGGGTTTCCCATTTCGATCGTGAAAGACGTGCGATCTCCGCCACAAAAGGATGGCATTTACTCGTACGAAATCGTCCTGACGGATGGAACCATGATAAAACAGGACTCTAAATTGGGGGAAATGCCGAACAATTCGTCTCCCGATTTTCAGCCGTTCCTCATAATTTCTGGAGAATATTCGTACACAGATCCAAAGGGAAAGTTGCATCACGTCACGTACACCGCGGACAAAAATGGTACTACAATACAAATTCTGTAAGAAAATTGTCCTTTAATCAATTTTGTTCTAATTTATGTAGGATATCGCCCAATAATTGACGGATCTGTGGTGGGAGGAACGGTCTCAGTATCAACGCCAGGTCCAACGTTAATTATCCCACAATCATCACGGAGCGAGAACGCTCAACCAGAAAAACCGTTGGAGACCATTTCCGCATCTTTGTTTAGTGCACCGTCACGATTTTTCTGACACATAAAACATAATTTTTGTAACAAGAAATAATTATTTTTATATTTCCTACAATTTAATACAAGTTGAAATGTATGTTTAATGACCGTAAAGAAGCGAAGTTTTTGACACTGATTTGCCCATTCATCAACATTGTTTATTTCTGTTTTCGGATATTGACATCATGCAATCATTGTTCCCTTCAATTGCCTTGTATCGCAATTATATCAAGCCAGATGTCACCGATCGGACGCCGGTAGCATTTTACGCAGCCGAAAAAATGGTTGGGCGCTGACCTGTGAATTCTACACCTGCGGATCGGAACACATTATTCTTTAACGCATTAATAACTTATTTAGATGCGTGTTAATTAAATGTTCAAGCCACCCACTCCTCAAATGATCACTTTTACTGGATAGCTTCCTTGCTCCGCATTAAAGATTTATCCATTTGATATCTTCTCAGATAATCTGCATGATGCACTTTAACCGACTGCATTATTTTTGTTGAAACGTAAGATTTCAATAGTTAAAGTGGTGAGATAAAAACGATGAATTTTTAATTATTCTCAGCACTTCCGCGAGTTTGCTAACTTTGCTACAGTATTAGATGAGAAATTTTTAAAATAAATATTATTTCTGCTAAAAATAAGCCTTCCTCGCCTAATTACTCGGCTTGGATTATAATTAGCCCCACGAAAAGGAATACAACATAATTAGAGCAAAATTAACCCCGCCTATATTCTGTATATTAATATTAATGATCTAGTTGTAACAATGAAAAAGAAATTAACTGAATTCCAGCCACAAAATTAATCACGCTACATATGAAGATATACATAAAATCAACATTTTACATCTTCATCTTTTCCAAATTAACAGTTATGCATTTGTACATATGTTCATAACTTGTCGTGTTTTTTACTTGATTCGTAGCATTTTTAATTGCAAACAATTATAATTAGTGCCAAGGTAAGGTTTCACATCCTGACATAGTATTCCACACACGACATATGTATGTACATATTTCCAAGTAATAATCCTCACTTCATGTAAATTCATAAAATAAATGCCAACTCAAATTCCTTGATTTTGACAGCTATTTACTTGGACTGTAGTTATTTTATTCATGGAGAGTTTACTTAATAAATCACGACAATAAAATCTTGCCTACTAAATATTATGACTGACTGCTGTCTTCGACTTATCCACCCATTTGTTTTTTTTTGCAGAATTGTACGCAAAATATTTGCGATAAAGGTGTAAAGAACTGTGTCAAGATGATATGTATGATGGGCCTCAACAATGACTAATTTTAACAAAACTCATCAAATTATAGCTTTTTGTCCTCACCATTCGTAAAAATAATTCATGACCTGACTGGTTTACCTACCTATTTATTTATGAAAAAATATCATACTGCACATGCATCTTGCATTGATCTAATCCTTGTAAAAAACGACTCCCTGTGCTTTTTTAGTGATAGTGTTTTAATAGCAGCAAAATTTAGGCGACAGTTTACACAGTTAAATAAATATTAATTGTGATGATGATGATCATGCAATCCACGCTACAACAAAGATTTATTTGCACTGCAGCATTATTACTTCACTCGTAAGAATATACTAAAATAGCCAAAAATAAAAAGTTGCCTGCTTATGTACACAATGGCCGCGGAAACCGTGGGGACATCTGGGGACGTTAACATTGTAGGATAGGGGAGGGAGGAGTTTATATAACATGGGAGATAATGGGGACATCGAACAACCGTGGGGACATTGTCCCTCTGTCCCCACCCACGCTTCCGCGGCCACTGTGCATGCATATTTAGATAAAAATATATCGTACGTGCACCGTCGCACGAATGGGACAGTTATTTATTAAGACAGTCACAAAAATTCTTAGCATTTAACGAGCAGTAGGATACACACGAATTAAAATAAGTTACATCACATTAGTTACTTGATAAAAGTTGTATTTGCAATAAAATGAGAAATAAAATAAAATAAAATAAGATAACGAATAAAATGAGACAATTTAAATATTTGCATGATTTCGTCGTGGTCTGGTATACGAGGTAAAAAAAATATACGATATGCAACTTTCTGTGGCCCGTATTGTATTGTATTATCGGACTGGACATGATCCGACTGGATGAAAAATCATACCTACCTACCATCACTAATTACATGATTATTACATAACAATAAATAATCACGTCTCTGTGCAGAGCAAGTATTGTAGAAAATTACAATAATCAAGGTGATCTCATATGTACATACATCTGTAGCCGATGAGTGCACACGTACATATCGCCTTTTGACCACGTATCGTTATATTTTACTACGACAATTAGTAGTTGATGCTCAACCACATCTTCACCACCACATTTATTTTACAACAGGGCAAGAATTGCAAGCGTCGCAACTCGAGAAGAGATGGAGATGTTCAATTATTAATTATTACAGTGACGACGACAATGAAAAATCTTGCGCTTGCTTACACACGCTCGCGTTATCTACATTCAATCCCATGTAGCGAAATGCCATTTTTTTATTAGGGGAGGAATTATTCTTGAAAATCACTGCATTACTACTTAAATATACAAGTTACCTATATGTAATAGTAAGATGAAGATGGGTACGATTATTACACACACATTATGCATCGCATGGTCAAGATTGATAAAAAATAACTTTTATTTTTTTCTGACCAATTCTCCCAAGTATTTAAGCCAGTTGGGGAATCCCGTTTAAAGTTAGTTTGTGCCTAGACTTTGATACTAATTGATTCATTCCCCATCAAAAATCCCATCGTCATGTTGAAGATTGTAAGTTGGCCCCATTACAAAAAAAAGTTTTTCGTACTAATTTTTGTCAATAATTGATAAAGGTCCTTCTCGCCGCGCTCGTCGCCATCACCGTGGCCGCTCCGCAAGGAGACGTCGCCATCGTCCGGTCCGAAAACGACAACCAAGGAGACGGAAACTTCAACTGGGCTTTCGAAACATCCGACGGAACGAAGGTCGAGCAATCTGGGGCCTTGAAGGCTGGACCCTTGGAGGATGGAACTAACGGCGAATTCCAAACGATGAAGGGGTCATACAGCTCGGTTGCTGCTGATGGTAAATTAAATATGCACTTAATTTGGAGAACAATTAGCTAAAAATCGTATAATTTCAGGTCGTAACATCATCGTCACTTATGAGGCTGATGAGCGAGGATACCGTGCCAAGACGACTTATGCTTAAGAAAATTGTCAAAATTTATAGTCGTCTGATTTGTCTTTACAAATAAAATTATCCGTTCCCCCGTTTAAATTTTGGAGAAAATCTAGCATCTTTTTTTTACATATTTATTTTTAACACAAAATGAAATGCATATTTTCCAGAGTCAACTATCTACATTTGCAGATACACATTTGCATGCACAAAGAGCAAACAGGTCTCTTGTAGGTTAAATTTTGTTGTTTTTCTCTGATTTGCACACATTTTTGAAGGAGATCAACTTCAATGTCACGACTTTACAATTACTTTTATTATTGGTACATACAACTTTACTGTCACTTGTTTATTCTCGTTTTCTGGAAGACGACACACGTTCACACGAATTCAGCTCATCATCACGACCTGATTTATGCTCGTGTTATCTTGTTGAAAAAAACTTTAAGTTTGCCATGAAACGAATTGGACATACAATTACGAGTGTAAAACCAAAATCGAGTAGAATAAAATGCTAATTTTGTACATGGCTGGTAGGTAATGCATTAAAATTAAAGGTGTTGACTGAATACATGAATTGCATGCATCCCCAAATTACACTTTTCCTTAGATGAATTTTAAGAATAACTTTATTAGCATAATCCAATCTCATCATCGAATAAACAAGAATTTACCTAAAAAAATATTAAGGATAAAATTGCAAATTTTCTGATGGAAGACAGGAAAAGGTAATTCGTTGGTGAATTTCAAGTTGGAAATTGTTATGAATCCATCACCGCAATTTTGAGCATTGAGCTCTGCAAGATATTCAGGTCCAATTTAATGTCCTGAATAATATTGTCGAGTTGTTTCTTCGAGTCGATAATTTCAACGCTGCCGGTGTAAGCGTTGTAACGAACGCTGAACGGACGCGGAATAGTTTCAGCGTATTGCCTGCAATAAAATTGGAGCATATTTAATTTAAGTAAGTAATTTCTACACGCTAAATTTATCACAATGCAATTAAAATTACATTAATCTATGCTTCGCATCTGCAAAACTCTCCGCAACGAAGTAAACTGGTTGGTACTCGGTGATTGGGTAGTCTTGAATCCCAGTCTTTTGAGGATCGAAGGGTCGAACTTCGGGCTTATCGCTGAGACAGTATTGCAACTGGAGGAGAGAAATATGGTAGGAAATTTTAGGTAACATTTTTCATGAAAATTTAAAAGAACGCTAACCTCGCCGTACGAACTGAGCAATCCGGCACCGAATGCTTTAATTTCACCTTCTTGACGACATAGTCCAAACTCCACGGTAAACCAGTAGCACTGATAAATAAAGAATTAAACAATTAATTAGGTCACGGTCAGGATAAGTCTGCAGCTTGGTCAGTTTCTTACCGTGGCCAACTTTTTAATATCATCATCAGGTGCGCCAAGAGATGCAAGACCAATTTCTTGCGAAAATGCGGCAAACTCAGGATCCGCGAAGAGTGGGACGTGACCAAGAAGTTCATGACAGACGTCACTGTATCAGTAATTTAAAGTTAAACAACTTTCAAAGAATACTAACATCTCATGAGATGTGCTGCTTACGGTTCCGGCGTGTAAAATGGGCACGTATGATGTCGAATATACTGCGTAGAATGGAACACTCTAAACGCCAACCCAGCCAAGAAATCTCGTGATGACAACAATCCAGCCACAGGTCGCAAAGAGAAGCCCGTATTATCTGGACAAAAACAATACGTCAAGCACAAACTATTTTCAAAATGTTCACATTTAGTGCTTCTATTACAAACTCCAACCTTTTAAAAAGTCTGAAATGTCCTGAAGCTGAGGGATATTATCCGCTCGATATCCACAATTTTCGATGAGCAAGGGGAAAATGTGGTTGTGCTCTTTGCACGCATGGGTCGGGTAAAGATCGACTGAAATTCAGGATAGAACAATAAAAATGTGCTATTTGTATTAAACTAATTTATGAATCTTACCCAATTGTGTGAAAACTTTTCCCCACGTTTCCGTCTCTTGAGGCGTGTAGTCAATCGTTGGAATTAGAGTTCCACTAAAAATAATGCATCACAAAATTATCATACTAAATTCTCGTCCGCATTACAAACCATTCCACTCACTGCTTGTAATGGAACGCAATATCCGCCAATTGTGCACGTCTCTTGCGATACACGGGGTCCGTAAATCCTGGATGGTCGCTGTCCAATTCGGATCCATAGGATAAAATCTGATTTGCAAATTTATCCAAGTCTCGAATTTTTCGTGGGAACCAGGGCGTCACGTCTACCCATTAATACATCCAATTAGGTAATCACTCAGCAAAATTAATTTATCTACAACTAACCAGCCAATTGCGTACCCGAATTATCTTTGTAATTCCTCGAAATAATTTTGAAGTAGCTCGACGCTTCTCGCAAACGTTCCATTGCCCCCGTAATATTTCCCTCGTGGGTGTCACATTCCACGATAAATTCATAGTCACCCGTCGCCCTCTTGGACGATCGACTCTCGATGTGCAACAAATTCACTTTGTCATCCTGATAAAGTATTTACAATTTAAAATATTTTTCATAATTCAAAAAATAAAATTATGTGTAAACTCACATCGAAAATCTTGAGTGCTTTTGCCAATGCTCCGACTTCTTCTTTCAAGGAGAAGATGATTGCCGTACTTTTATGGGAATCTTTCCCTTCTCTGATGTAGTTTCCTCCTTGCATGAGGATGGGCTGCAAAAAATGCATTGAAAAAATTACCGTTCGTAAACATTAAAAAAATATATTTCTCTTACAATATCCTCCGGAGTTCCCGAAGCATAGTTGACAACCGGGATCGATTTGTTGTTTAGAATTTCCATGATTTTCTAAATATTCGAGATCCTCTTGTCAATCCGATGGCTGGACGATAACTGCGACCAAGCTTAAATCCGATGCAGAGATTTATTCATTTCGTAACCAAGTTATAAGCTTGTGTACGTGTGTGTGTGGCGTGGTGGTGGGATTTCATTTAGATTACAGATTTACAAGTTGATTAAGGTCGAAGGACACGTCAAACCAAATAATAAAATAAGTATGGCCTGGATTGGATAGCCAATCAAATCAGTTACTTTCTTTCAGTTACATACTATTTTTATTATGGACTTGGATTTCATTCTGCTGTTGTATTTAATTAAGATGATTACGATGAGCTAAACAAATAAAGACATAATAAGTTTCATGACTTTCTAGACTTGTGACTTCTGAGAGAGAGAGAGAGTGGTCTTGTTTCGTTGATAAAATTCTAGAAATAACTAATTTTTACCGTTTTATTTTAAAATTATTTAGGTTTGTGATGAAAAAATGATATTTTTACACTACTTGTAAATTGTAGCTAGAAACGGAGAAATACCAGATTATGGATGTTTATTTGAGGAATTTTTTACGTATGTGCAAGAAGACATGCAGGAATATGAACAACAGCTTTAATTTAAATCGTTAAATAAGTCTGCGGTCACATCCATTAACCTAATCTCTTGACGTTTTCTGGTCTGTTCTTGTATTTGGGAACAAGTGCACTTTGTCAATCTTTTTTCGCTGACTTTGATATACTTTCATATATTCCATTTAACGATGCGAACTAGTTTATAAAAGTTAAATTGAGTTTAAGGTTATTTATCATCTCTGCGCCCTGATTATAACGAATTCCCTCCCGGATTGGACGAGGCAAGGATCCCCTCCTCCACATAATCTCGTTTAAATTACGCTTAATTATTCCGTTTATTCCATTGGAAATAAAGCCGTTCAGAAAAAACAGATGTGGAGCAGACTTGAGAAATTAAAGGATTTAATAAGAATTTTCCTACGAACTCTTGATATTGAAAAGATGATTATTCAATTACGACACAAAATTATACAGTTAACATCGTATCCGACACATTATACGTATTTTTGTTAGTAAAAATCAAACAAATGTGAAACATGTTATGTCATAAAACTATTTACAGTAAATTAAAGTTAAATATTAAACTTCGTCTTCATTTACTAGCATGTTTGGGATTCCTCTCTGAATTTTAAACTTTCTTCCAGTTTCAGGACATTCCAATTCCCCAGTAATTACTTCAATCTGTAATTAGGACATAAATTATGAATTATATAAGTAAACCTGTAATTTGTTGTCATTAATTAATTATTCCACTCACTTCAAATAAAGCGTGATGAGCCATCTTTAAAAATTCTTCATTCTTATCATAATCCTCCGCGAGAGTGGCTGGTACTGCGTCTCCGTGACCCAACTGTAGGAATAATTTGAACAATTAATTCAATTATAATTAGACTGAATGATCTTGCTGTCATTATAAATTAATTAATTACGCTTTGCGTCGCTTCCACCAACGCGGACCAATTTACTCTAGGAAGCACTTTTGAAACCAATGTGGGCTGAAATTCTTGCGTCACGTTTTTAACTTCGGTCGCCTATTCAAAATAATAACTGGATTAATAATTAGAATAACAATTCATTCGCAATATGAATTTCATATCAAATCAAAATAATCAAATCACCGTGATTTAATCACGTGGTTTACAAAGTTTTTACGAACCTTCAACTTCAGCGGATATCCAACCTGCACGTTCTTTATCATTTTCGAAGTTAGCATATTGTGAGTAAACAGCTTCATTTTATCAAACTGATAAACAAGTCAATCAAAAATAACTTTCTTTGATTTTTTAATGAGCAACTTTAGCAAAATGTGTAAATGAGCTCTCTGTTGAGCATGTGGACTTGTGAAAAAATCTCATGCCTCTCCCTGCCCGGTTTTTAATGGGGAGAAATGCATTAAAATGCAGAATAAACAATAGATTTTGTTCGTTTCGAAACTTTGTGTACTTATCATTTATCTTATCTCATCATAAAAAATATAGATTTCCAAAGATTTATAGCAAAGACAACACAGTTCTTCCAGTTCCAAACGATAACAATCTTATCCAGTTATTATTACGGAATATACAAAATTATCCTTTTACGGTGTCAGAGTTTTACAGATGCGGATATAATTTTGACGAATATACTAAATACCCTTACATTATTCATGTCATTTTAAATCTTTAAATAGGATGACAGGTCCTCCCGTCTTCTTCCAGGGGTCCTCCTCCTCTTCATTTGAGCTGATGGACAGCAGGAAAAACACGACCATAAATGCCACCAAGAAACATCGCACAGCGGTCACCAAAGAATTCGAAACGCAGTTCGCAATCTGCAAGGCGGAGTAGATTGCAATTCCAAGAAGCATTAGTGCTGCTGAAAATTCAAATGCGGTGACCATTTTACTCCACAACTCCTCATAAATGGCACAGCCTGGCGTGGACACCGACAAGACGCCAAAGGACGCGATAAATGTTGCACCAAACGCCACGAGCGTGTCTATTTAAGGTTGAGAATCACTTTTAATTAATTGCTGAAACTGATACGCTTTAAAGATTTACCTTTCAAATGGCAGACGAGGAGGAGTTTACATGTCACGAAAATTTCAGAAAGCAAGTAAAATGAGAGTGTGTAGTATGTAGCGGACCAACTTTGGTGGATGACATTGGTCCATAACCATTCCATATCGAAGGATGAAAATAATGATGAAATTTCTAAGGGTGGTGGGTCCTTTGGTTGGAATTTTGGACATGCTGGAAGTGGGTGGGTAATCACCTTGGCTGGCTTGGAGCAATCGTGGTAACCTGCCATGATTTTGGGGCTCAAGTGTGTTAAGTTTTATGCAAAATGGGTAAAACTATTAATGAAATAAGGAATTTTGAGGAAAATCATGACATTTTTCGTCATCATATTTATCGTTGCACAAGATGTCTAGGATTCCTTTGTTGCCCTGGAGTCACGTCCCCAGTTGCCGTTGGGGGACTGTATAATCAAATGACGTCAGTAATTTGGTATTAAACTTTTATCACTTTTATTTCACAGAAATGTATAACAATACAAGAGAAACAACAAGATGACGAAGAAGGAAGTTCTATAATAAATTGTTGTGAATATATTGGGTCAGTCTTTCTCGAAAGATCTATTCTGCAGAGGAATTATCCTCCGCACTTAGGGTTAGAGTTGAACTCCTGAAAAATAATTCCCATCAAAATTTTAGACATTCCATTCAAATTGAAAATATAACCCTTAATGAAAATGAAAATATAAAGCTTTGTGCAGTTTGCATAGCCCCAACCATGACCGTAAACATTTTCTTCCGGACATAAAACTTCGATTTCGATATGTTTATCACTAAATATTAGTTAATACTCTGCAACAAGTTACCCCCACGATATGACCCTGGTTCAAATCTAGGTAACTGGAGAGGGTACATGAGATGCAAGTTTTTTGTTCAATTTACATTACGCTCTCTGTTAAGAAGCATTTTAACCAAATACTAAATCAATTTCATTTTTGGATTCAATAAAACGCGACTGAAAGCGAGTTAAGTAAAGTAAACTAAATACACTCGTCAAAATCAATGGCTCATGGTCCGCGGTGCTTACAATTAGCTATTAGCAATTTGGACGGAAGGACAGTGGGCACAGAACCATTACGAAAGCCTTGCTTCAGGATAATTAATAAAAAACTGACCCATTTTCCTTGTCGATCCTATATAAGGCACAACCATCCTCGCATTTTTCAGCTAACTTTCGGCAAAATTCCTCATCATAACTTGTCACAATGACTTGGTTTGATCCGGTGATACTGGAGAAACTGGAAAAGTTTACACATTTAGTTATTTACAGTTAATTTACCTTCCAACTTTATGTAACGCATCAAAACTCACTGATCAACTAAATTCCTCACAACACCCTCGTCCAAACATCCCTCCGGCTCATCAAACGCAACTATCGGACATCCACTTGCAAACTTTTCCGTAAAAGCACACCGAATGATTAAGGACGCCAAAATTTTTTCTCCATGACTGGATCGACCCCTCATCTGTAATTCCTCATTGTTTCTACAAGTCTGCATTTTAAAATGGTAGTTGTAGTCCACCCTGATAGCACCTTCCGATTTTTTAGCTGCTTCCATTAAGATTGTTGGAATGTCATCGTGTGGGAATAACATTTCCCAGTAATCTTTTAAATAATTGTTAATGTCATCAATCATATCTTGATGCTTCTTAATTATCTGATTGCGTTTTTCCTTTTCATCATGATCGGTTTTCTCTATTTGATTTTGTAAATTACATACATCGGTTTGCAAGTTTTTAAAATCATTCACGGCATTTGGATACTTCTCAATGTGTTTCTGATATATGGAAATTTTAGCTGCCATTTCAGCAAAGTTAATCGAGGTGACTTTCAAGTTGTAATTGTTTTGATTCAGTTTGCTTTGGAGATTGGGAATATCTGAAAGGTCAAGGGTAGACGCTGAGGCTTTTGCAATTTGGAAATTGTTTCTTGCCATTTTTAGTTCCATAATTTTTGAGAGAGCTTCCTTAAGTTCGTTAACGTGTGCTTCTTGTGCCTGTTGTAAATGTTCAGGTTTAAATTTGATGTTTGTAGTTACATAAATAATTACGTGAACCCTTACCTTTAAACTATTTTGATTATTAGATATCGCGTCTATCCTTCTAACTGCTTCCGAAATGCTGTTTTTCAACTTGCTCATTGAGGTTTTGTAATTCTCGAGAATTACAAAATTTGAAATTTCGTCCAAATTTGAACAATTTTCAACCTCAGCCTTCAAACTTTTCAAGTCTTTGTAGACTGATTTGCTCGAATTGACTTCAGTCATTAGATCCTGGTAGCAGGATCGGTTGTGGTTGATGAACCGAGTTAATTCATCACTAGCTTGTTCGGTTTTTTGATGGTCTACTTCTTGTGCTTGTCGAAAACTTTCCAAGGTGCTAAGTTCCTGTTGAATACGGTTTATTTCTTCATTGTTGCGAAAGGCGAGGCCTAAATGTAAAATAATGACAACACTATTGTTCCCCTTTCATAGATACATTTTGTTAATATAAAATTACCATCGGCTAGACCCCCGTCAAGTTTCGGCCTTTTGGGAGGTTTACCGTTTTCTTCGTATGCTTCTTTGGTCACAATTTCATAACATTTAACAAGATCAGAGACAAGTTCTAACCGCAGTTCCTCAAATAATTGTTCTGTAAAACTGTCAAAGCTTTTGAGTTTTACATCAAGAGATTGTTTTAATATTCCAGTGGTTTGTTTCAGCTGTTCGTTTTTCTCCCTTCGTTGGTGAATAATTGTGGTCAGATCGACGCTTTGAAACCTGAACCAGTGCAACGAACAAAATTATTAACTAATTAAAGTTTACTTTCTATGGATTATGTAACAGACCTATTCAACTCTTCTAAAACCTCTTCACTCGTAGCCAAACTCCCTTCCGCGGATCCTAATGTCTTTACAGCATCCAGAACAACAGACAATTCGCTCTCATAACGTGCCATAGACTTTCATTGCGTAGATGTTTTTTCTTTATTTCGCGTTTGTGAACTGTAAATATTATTTTTAGTTATTAAATTAAATATAACAATTTGTCACACATTACTTTCTACTCTCTCCATAAATTCCGGCATTTTGTTGTCGAGAAGACTCAGCTTCCCATCTTGGATAGTGCACAATGCCAAGTTGTCCTTTAATTTTGCTAAATTCGCATTTTCGCGTGCAGTATTTTTCTCGTTTTCTAGGAGAACGGTTTCAATACGGGCTTTCCGTCGCCTAGAAAATGGACAAAAGATATAAAACAGGAACGAATTGTTTAACGTGGTATTTATAACTGAACCCACTCATTTTCAGTTCTGCTATTCAAGAATTTTTGATATTCATCCTCAAGTTGTTTCTGCTTTTCTTCAAGTTGATCGATGTATAATGGAACATCCGTTTCCAAAAAATTAGGAGTATCCTGAGATAGATTTTCAAACGACTGCGACAGGCGTTCGAATTTTAATTTGGCAGTGTCAGCTTCCTCTTGTTTTACTGTTGCCCTTGTGTTCACATCATAATACTTGGCGGTGATTTCCTGCAGTTCCTTTTCTAAATTTTGTTTTAATTTCGTTTCCTATATTTTAATATTAGCAAATATACATGTATATTTGCACTTTATGAGAGTGTAAATATGTACATACATAAATACATAAACATTTAAGTTATATAGTCGTACCTTTGAAGACTCATTATTGCTTTCTAAAATCTCATTAGCTAACCGACGCATATCGTCATCCAGCGACTCTTGATTCACATTCGAAATCTCATCCACGGAAATTTTGAGGGCTTTAACGATATCTTCGGCATGCTGAAATTTGACTTCCAGCTCGTTCACTTCCTTGTATTTCTTCAACTTGATTTCCAAATCTTTGCTCTCTTCTTCCAGGGCAGATATAACAGTACTCAAACGTCTTTGTTCATCTCGTGCAGCTCTATTTTTGTTTTTCACTTGCGTCACAAAAGTTGATTTTTCAAGGGCTGGTTTTAATAATGGAGTTTGGGTTTTGAGCTCTGAAATTTTTGAAATAATTTCTTTAGATAACTGCCGGAATAATTTAGAGGAAATATATCAAGTCATATTAGCTTGAAGGGACTTTCTCAACTCAACAAAGTCCTGAAGAATTTTATTCTCCTCTTCTAAGCAGAGAAATTTATCAATGCCTTGTTTTAGATTAGTTGCGGTTCCAAAAGGCCAGAACGCATCTTCTTGAGGGACTAGTAAAAGTTTTTCAATAGCGCCAGACGGGAGGTTTGTGATTTGTTTGATTTCTTTTTCCGCATCCTGCACAAATATGACAATTTTGTTATCAAGTTTTATGAGAATTTTGCTTCATTGAATTTTTATACATAAAAAACTTTAAGCATTACCTCACAAGACAAAGTACCCCCATGAATAGGAACCCCATTACAAGTTATGTTACAAGTTGCTGTTAGTTTTTTCTTTGGTCGTTCAATTAACCATGCAATTTCGTTCAAGTCTTCGCCCTTCGTTAAGGTTATAATTATTTCTGCTACTAGTCCAGTGTCCGCTCCGTTTATGAAAGAAGCCACTAAAGATACGATTTGTAAAATTAGCAGACTTTGTTTAATAAATATTCTTTTAGTTTATTGCATCATGTTTCTACTTACGTCCTTCTGGACTAGAAGAGAGTTTTCCGGTAAGTCCAAAGACAAGACATTCTATCAGCGTCTGTTAATAAACACTTTTTAAACACTCAAAAAGTTGTATTCTAGAACAAATTATAAAAAATACCGTTTTTCCCGACCCATTCCTTCCTTTTATGATTGTGAGATTGGGATGAAATTTTATTTCATGAAACCAACTTTCATTTTCACTTTTATTAAAACTTCTCAAACCGTAGAACTTAAGGGATCGAAAAACTACAGCCATACTTATTTTTTGTGGACTATTATGTATAATTAATAAATAATAATTTTTATTCTTTAGCGAGTTCTGTTTAAAGGAAGTCCAGATGTGCAGAACATCAGAAGTAATCAGAACACAGATTAAACTTTAAACGTTTCATTCGAATTTCTGGAGGCAGACGAAAAAGTTGCCGCTATTTGAAGACAAAGACTTTCTCATGGAACAAGTGAATGCACGATGTTTTTGCATTCACTCATTCATTCATTTTTTCATTCACATGAAAGAAAGAAATGGAAGAAATACATATTTTAAAAATTGAAGCCAAATTTCTCGTATTAGAGCCTCCACAAAAACCTGTTAATTGTAATTAATAATTACTATATTTGCATCAACAAACTGCTTATTTTTTTCAGCTTAATATCTGATATACGATACGCGTGTATCGTCTTTGAATGTGTTTTAAATTGGGCATTCGTTTCACACTGACTCCACTTCATCCAGTGATTGGCAGAAATTTGGCGAATTATGATGACATGACCTATTTTGTGATTTATTAACGAGCGGAAGGATGAGAAGCGGAGTTATTGAAGCTCAGCCCCAGGTCATAGGTCATAATTCTTTTAATTTGAAAGAGATTAAATTTTAAGTTTATTCAATGGGAGCGATTATTTTGACGAGGCATCTAAGCAATCACACTTTGTTTTTCTCCTTTTGCACCTGTAACGACGATGTGTAAAGTCGTTAACTAGTATTCACTGAATACTATTCAGCATGTAATTAAAATGTGATAACAGTCATTAAGTTAAGATTACGTATCCGGCAATGATTCAGTCTAAAGTTGATAAATTTGAATATCCGTGTGTAAATAAACTGTCCACATAAAATGATGACCTTTCTGACCTGTGTTGTTATATTCACATTATTCCGAACAGTCATCCCCACTGATCCCCCCAATTTGGTCCCCGTTGTCAAAATCCCCTCAACAAATCTCAGCACAGGCGTTTTTTACGTCATCACCATGAAAAGCAAACCATCAGGAATAGTAACTTGGACCGATAAGAAGGTCGTGCACGATATTAAAAATTTTGTCCAAGTTGACCTCACGCCAGAAAATCAGAAAGAATATCTCCCAGGAGGGCAGTGGTTCTCATCCGCACAGTGGACATTCCAACCCCTGAATAATTCGTCATCGTTCTTGCTCAAAAATCGGGACAATTTGTCTAGAAATGTGGCAACTGTGGTTGACGAAAATACCGGATACACTTTTCTCTACTGGGATGACCCATCGGGACCATCAAGTTTAAATACTCCTCTCAATTACTACTTCATCACGCCGGTGGGGACCGTGGATGAGTCCGAGTACAAAATTCAGCTCCAATTTTCCCGATATCCAGGCAGATTTGTGACTTGGACTCCGCTGAAGAACGGGAAATATTCCCACTTTCTCCAAGTAGCAGCAAAGGGGAGTGAGTATGACTGGGATGGGAAGTCGTGGGACAGCACCTTGTTCAAGTTTGAACCTGTGACCAGTGGGACTGTCATTCGATTTGGACATGTAGCATCGCTAGAAATTAGGCCGCAAGGGGTCGAAATATTGGACAGTAAAGGAACAATGGGCACCGTGTATTCCGAAAAGTTTGAGAATTTTGGACCATTTCCGACCACAACGTTGGTAATGCGTGATAAAATTTAGATCAACCTAAAAAAACATTGGCATACACAAAGCATTAATTTCAGATCAAAACCTCTCTTCCTGACACATCGGGAGGAATTTTGACCATCACGAACCCCACGTTGAGTCCCCACGTCAAACTTCCGGCGAATTTCACCTTTGCCCTCCCCTCCAAAAGGGGCAGTCCAATCCTCTTCAACGTCATCGCGTCCTCTGAAAATTCGAACAAAACATATCTCGTGAGACCACTGAATCGTGTCCTGCCGCTCCCACCGAACGTGGCCGTGAACGTGGGGCCGAGTAAGGTGATAAGCTTCACGGTGCAGCAGAACCTCTTTAAAGACGTTGAGTTGCCGTGTGTGCTCAATGTTCTTGTGACCGGCGAGGGCGACAGGGTAACGGAGGATGGCGGCGTGGGACGAGGACCACTCCCACCGGATGTGGTAGAGACCGCTTTGAGGAAAAAGTTGGGACTTCTGGACGAAGTGAGGATGGAGGGGGATCAAATATTTGTCCGAGTGGGGGCTGTCATTAAGGGGTCATTTTTAGTCGGGGTTGAAACAACGCCGTCAATCGTATAAAAATTCATACAGATGCATATATAAATTAATTAATTTGGAAAATAAAATGTTTTCAAATAGGGACATACAATTTAGTAATTGATTTTTGAGAATAAAATGTTCATGATACATATAAATGCATATATACAGACTCGTTATGCATAAAAATGGTAAATACATGTCAACTTGTTATATTAATTCATTTCAAGTAGTGTACACATTCTGCATCGATCTGCGATCTGGAAGAGAAAATGGAGAAAGTAAAACTATCTTAAGTTGGTTTGATGGGCAACCGTTGGTAGAATCTGAGAAAACGTCGGTTGAAAATGTCATGCTAATAATACTTAAAATGGCCCTGTTATCAAATTTTCTGTTCCATAATTATTTCAATCGATCAATTATTACATAAGGTTAGGTTAGGTTTGAATACAGTAAATAAATAAATATTGTGATTTAGTAGAAATAGGATTTCATTTGCTGCAGGGAACTGTTATAATTTACTCTTTTTGTTCCAAAGAACCAACAGGCTCTCAAGCCATGTCTGATACATTCTGGCGAATCTTTGGCATGTAACAAACAATCATCGGCAGGGTTCATTCCACAGTAAGCTTGTCTAGTGTCGCATTTTATTATGCGTGTAGTCCCATTTTCATCGCATCGATAAACGTGTTCCATTCCGCAAGACGCGTGAAGGTAAATCTTCTTAATTTCATGGCCACACATGAGGAATGGTTTGGGAAGATTTCTATACGTTCTGGGACAGATACACTCCTCATCCCCCTAAAGTTGAATGTTCTATTGAGGCAAGTTGAGTACACAGAAAAACAACTACTAGTTTACTTACCTTGCAAAATATGCAGTTTAAAATTATTGCAAAAACTATGAACTTGTGCATTCTTCTAAAAGTCAAAATCTTGTTCATTCAACAACAATTTAGAACTTTGTGCAATGTGAATCTTGTAATACTGACTAAATTTCATTCATTTGTAGCAAAGTAACAATGGGAAATTAAATTTTTATGTGTCATTAATTTCAGAATTGCTTGGTTAGCATTTCACGTAGTTGGACAATTTATCATCAATGACGACTCGAGGATGGAGGGGAATGAAACATTGGTCGGAGTGGGGCGGACATTTTTATCGGAGTTGAGACCACGCCATCAATCGTGAAGTAATACACATGCGCCATTAGTTTAGAAAATAATAACACATTGGCAAGTTTGGGACACAAAATAGAATAATTTATTTCTGAAATATAGCAATAATCTCAAATTGATGGCTAAATTTCTTGGGGATGAATTTTTTGTAGGGAATATTTTTTTAATACCAAATTATTCAATGGCATTATTATTACTTATCATTGAGCAATTGAGCAGTGGCGACATTGTCGTCACATCGTCTTGTTTAACGTCCATATCCTCCACTGGATCCACCCCCACCGGAGTAACCCCCACCACCACCACCTCCCGAAGTGCTGGAGAAGGATCCGACAAGATTGGCCTTTCTGGGAGAATCCAACTGAGCTCCGCCACCACCGCCGGATGGTGCTCCATAACCGGACTGTGGGGGTGCCCCGTACTGACCGCCCCCACCACCGCCACCACCCCCTCCGCCCCCACCAGAGTACCCACCACCACCACCACCTCCTCCCATTTGGGACAGGACTTGCGCAACTTGGGCCAAAAGAGCTTGGTCAACTATTCCTTGAGATGAAGGACCTTCGTCGAATTGGGCTTGTTGATAGCCACCCCCGCCGCCTCCTCCACCACCGGATTGACCCCCATATTGACCTCCCCCACCTACAGAATAAAAATCAGTAGAAATATTCATCACGGTCTGCCAGTAGCCGCCTAAGCTGTGGGGACATTTGGGGATTTTAAAATTGGGGAGGGAGTAAAAATTTGAAAGAAAATTTGCCAATATTCTGCAGAAATTTGGCCCAGTATTCTACAGAAAAACTTTACGCAGTGATTTTTTGCAGAAACCTGTGCAAAATTATGCAGAATAAAACCAATATAAATTTTCTGCAGAATTATGTAAAAAATGCAGAACATCAAGCTTTTATCGATTACTCCTGAGTTGGACACGGTAATTTTTGCTGGGGAAGGTTTTATGTAGCATGGCCAGATAATGGGGACATCGAATAACCGTGGGGACATTGTCCCTCTGTCCTCACGCCACAGCATCCCTCTAAGTAAATATTTCTGTATTAAACCTACCACCACCACCCCCACCGAATCCAGCGTCCGCTGAGGCAGCGGCGACAAGCAGGGCGCCGAGAATAATCTAAATATACGAGTTAAAAATATTTAAAAATTCCGAATACAAAAATTCACAGAAAAACTCACGATGCGATTCATCCTTAGTGTGTGATCAGTGATGGATGGAAGTCCAAGTTTTAGTCTGACTACACGATTTGAAAGTGCGGCTGCTTTTATATGTTGAAGATGTTATTAGAAATTGGGTAACAATTCGCTTATTATATCATCATCGCCACGCCACCCACCCAACCACCAGAAGATATCGCCATGCACCCTTTTATTATATTACCAGTCTCATCCCATCTCCTACTTGCTTACTTATCTCTTCAGGTACTTATTATTATTATTATTTATTACGATGCATTCTGCTGGCTGCCTATAAAATATTGTAAATCCAATTCTAACGACTAAACCAAATGTCACTTTTTCAAGATAAAATGATATCTTAAATTGTACACCCATTTAGAATTAAAACGTGTCCTCGGACGTTTCATTCACCCCACGATGACAGCGATCAAACACACTGCGTCATAATATTGGGAACGTCCATATTTTACGTCTCCAAAAAGGTGGGTGGATGGTTTTAGGTCGCTTATCTGGCTCGTGTTAAGCTTAAGATAAGTCTGATATGGAAGGGATGGTCTAAAAATTTTCGTTTTTCGATAACGTAATATATGTACGTTCCCATTTACGTCCCGATTGAAGAACAGCGTTACTTTCATTCAACCTCATTTAAAATACTGAGGAAAAAAAATGAATGCAATTTTTCATGAATGATGAAGCTGAGAAAAAAAGATTTATTTATTTTGAAAAAAGACACTAATTCTTAACAAATCTGCCTGCACCTGGCTTTTACTAATCCTGTGATAATGATTTGTCACCAGATTTCATGTACCGATTCAAATTCAGTTTGTCAAAAGAGATTTATTAAAATTTAAATCTGTGTAATTTCTGATTTTGTAATATTATTTAATAAATCAATCATTCATTCATATTGTTCGTTGAGATTTGTGCCTCGTTCCATTTTTTATAAATTACTCCATTATAATTGTTACCTACTTAATACTAGCAGAAAATTGGACCTGGAGGCCATTTAATTTAAGCTGTGCAAAAAGACAATGATGAATAGATATGTAGAAATTATCTGCGTCGACGACGATGTCAAGAATACTTTTTTATTGTTATGTGTATAAGCGTCAAGCGTGGCAGTTCGATGACAGGCAGGATTTAGTGATGTTGATGATGACCAATTTATTTAAGTGAGTGTGTGTGTAACCTCTAATTTTTTGTGGTGAGTTTTACCTACGAAAATTATTGAGAAAGAACAATTTATTAAATTTTAGGCTATGACGGGGGATATTTATTTACTTTATAGAGGGCGGATATGTATTTAGGCAAAATCGCTGAATTAATATGTATTTACGAAATAAACGCCAACGTATTTATGAAATATATACGAAAAAACATCAAAATAAGAATTTTGGCAAAATATGTAATTTTGAATTGTTTTTTTTTTGGAGTCGAATTTCTTTGAGCAAAAAAATTTGGTCCCTTTATAATTACAAAATATATGCATTTTTGAAAAAAATATCTGAAAGATTTGCATAATTTTCAAATAATAGTGGAAATATATATAAATATATTTATACGTCTGAAAACCTAAAAATACGACAATTTTTGAAAATATTCTGAAATTTTTATGATCTATTCGAGTTGTGGAACACACCCACGAAATTTGACCGTCGGTCATCATCAAATGAAAAATTCGAAAATAAATACATATCCACCCCCTGATCATCAGACCAGACCACCAAGCAGCTAAATAAACTAAATAAGTCATGCGTCGAGTAAATGCTTTTTTTCTGAAAATTGTAGCAAAAAGTGGACAAAAAACCAATATTAGATGAATGAATTTGAATTATATTTATATGTACAACAATTGCTCGTGGTGGTGCTGATGATGGTAAATTATTTAAGAGATGCAATTGTTGTGGTGGCTAAATTATGCAATTTTCATAACGTGACGTACTCTGCAAAGTATTATTGCACGGAAAATATGATAATACTGCACACAAAAAACACACATTTAAAAAAACTGCAATACGATTCGTGCCATAATTTCGTCATTGTTGTCTGCTTGGATTAAATAGTAAAGTGAAAAAAAGAGAAGCATTTTTCAAAAGACAAGTTCAGTTCGTGCCACGTACTTCGTTTTGCATGGTTAGTTAGAGATTGGATTTAAATATTGGATAAGCACCACTTAAGGCGATTTTATTCCCAAGTTCAGTAGCGATTTTTACGTAAGAGTGATGTAACACTGGTCTATTTTCTGCTGGGATATCCCAAATAAAGAGCAAAAGAATCAATCATTATCCAATCCGAAGTAATGATAAGCAATGTCGATGATAAGATAAATCGCTGGGTTATCCGCTCCACAACACACGCAACGTAAGTTTAAACAGAAATCCGACACATGTGAAATTGGTCTCAGTTTTGGAATACACGATTTTTCATAACTAAATTATAAACGATTTTTGTCGTAAAAAAATGGAAATTTTCATGAATTTTTCCAAAATCTGGGCTATTTTAGTTTTTTGCGTGGTGTCTGTCGCAAAATGTGACGAACCGAGGGTAACACTGCCAAATGGGAACGTCCTAATTGGGTTGGAACAAGACTCGTTTTATGAGGGGAAGAAATTTCACGAATTTCGTGGCATCCCGTACGCCACGCCGCCTAAAGGGGGGCTTCGTTTTAAGGTGAGTGCGCATACTTAATTTATTCAGGTGGGAAATTATGTAATTTAATTTATGGCGAATTATTAGGCGCCACAAAAGTACGACGTGAAATGGGACACACCCAGAAATGCGGTCGAATATGGAGCAGTCTGTCCGCAAGATGACCTTTTAAACGAACCGCAAGAAGACGGACATGTCGAAGAGATCGTGCAACCAATTGGGGACGAGGATTGCTTATTTATCAACGTGGCGACGCCGGCTAAAAAGGTATTTACGGGTGCAAGGCACCTGCAAGAAATAACGATTTTGACCTGCAAGAATTGCAAGGCGCAGGAAACTACGCCACGCCGCTATACTTCATACGGCGCGTGGTTGGATGGCGCATATTTCTTGCACTTTCTCCCAGTTTCTTGCACCTCACATTTCTTGCGTTTCTTGCTCTGCAGTGCAAGAAATGCAGCAAACTCGCAACAAATGAAACACAGACCGTGATCATTGATGTATAAATGCATAATAAACTGCGGCAACGCAGGGTACCCAAGTAGCGCAAAAATGCTGAGAATGTGATACAAAATAAAGGAAATATAGATTTCCGAATCTTAATTATTTAAAAAATAATTAAATAATTTAGATTCCCTCATTTATGTGTAGCCACTTTGAAAAATCGTGCATCTTACATGTTTTACTTTTTTATCAATCTTAACTAATCAATCAATCTTGCTGTTTTACATATTAGATTCAATTTTTCTAAAAATCTCATTTTGCCCCAATCACACCCACTGGGTGCCATGGGGTGTGGCACTACTCGGGAACACTTAATTTAACTGCCCTTCATCCATAGATTCAATTTTTGTAAAAATCTCATTTTGCCCCAACCACACCCACTGCGCCCCAACCACACCCACTGGGCGAGAGGGGGTGCGGCACAACTTGGGAACACTTAATTTAGCTGCCCTTCATCCATAGATTCGATTTTTGTAAAAATCTCATTTTGCCCCAACCACACCCACTGGCCGAGAGGGGGTGTGGCACAACTTGGGAACACTTAATTTAACTGCCCTTCATACATAGATTCAATTTTTGTAAAAATCTCATTTTGCCCCAACCACACCCACTCGCGCCCGGGGGGTGTGGTCCGGCCGCCCCCAAAACCTTAGGGGATCCTCCCCCTAGGGTCATACGTATGATGGCGAAAACCGATTTCGATTATCTCGATCCGTTCTCCAGTTATCGTGTTGACAGACAGACGGACAGACAGACAGACTAACTAAGTCATCGCATAAAGTAGCTTGCGCTACTTAATAAATATTTAAATAGCCATCGTCCAAGGGAGGATATCCCGTCGCCGTCTGGATTCACGGTGGTTCTTTCCAGTACGAATCGGGGGATGCGTACAGCCCCAAAAAATTCATGGATTATGGTAACGTCGTCCTTGTAACGTTCAACTATCGCTTGGGAGCACTCGGCTTCTTAAACACGGGGGATGGAAAAATTCAAGGAAATATGGGTCTCAAAGATCAAGTTCTGGCGTTGAAATGGGTACAAACAAATATCGCAGCGTTCTCCGGAGATGTCAATGCGGTCACACTTTTTGGAACGAACTCTGGAGCAGTGTCGGCTCATTTGCATATGATTTCGCCAATGTCCGAAGGTAACTAAATAAATCATACAATCAATGGTAATACATATGTACGTCTGCGAATTTTAGGCCTATTCCATCGAGTCTTGTTACAAAGTGGGACTGCCATTTCTCCCTGGGTTTTGCAACACAATCCAGCCAAAACAGCAAAGACTTACGCTGCCTGGCTTAATTGTAGTGGTGATGTCATCAATAATGAAGACAACGAAACAACTCCGCAAGAATCCACAATTGACTGCCTTATGCGAACCGATGTACAAACATTTGTCCGAAAGCAGGCTCGATTAACGGTTAAATTGCTTTTAAATTGAAAATATTTGTAAAAATATCTGTATTAACAAACATTGTGTTGTTTTTGCAGGAGTGGTTTATCGACCCAATGGTTCCGATGGGACCATCAATCGAAAATGCGGAAGGTTCCTCCGAGAACGAACCCAAATTCTTGTCTGAAGATCCCTACGAGTTGTTACAGTCTGGAAATTTCTGGGCTAAGGATAAAGTTCGACTAATTGCTGGTGTAAACTCACATGAAGGACTGTTACACACGTGGGGTGGGAAATTTATTTATTAAGATAACTAAATTTAATTTAACAGAAACAGAGGTCGACGCCGACCAATTTTTCGGTGGTGGCGGCGGCGGCGACACCCAATTTTGGTGATTTTTCGGCGGCGTTGGCGACGCGGTGTAGCGTCCCAATGTTTAAAGAATAAGAAATCCAATTTATTTATTTGCGGTTACCCCTGAGCTGAAATAGTTAAGAATTGCATATCTTATGTAAATTTTTATGTATTATCAGATATTGCACATCACCGCATGTTATCCCGCGTCCTCACCATGGAATGGCAACGAGCCCTCCCAATCACGCTAACATTTCGCGACACGGCACTCAACTTTAAAAACGTTTCAGACTCCGTGTTCCAATTCTACCTTGAAGAGAAGGAGGGTGACCAAGAAGAAGCGAGCACTTCAAATTCTGCCCCCAGTAAAAAAGGACAAGACGTAAAAAATATGAAAAACATGAAAATGCTGGGTCACGAATTTTACCGCTTTGATTCACTAACCGCAATGTATTCGGATCGTTACTTTTTCATCCCGGTCCATAAAACGGGACAGCTTCATGCAAAATACGGCAGCAAAGTGTATTTGTATTGGTTTGATTATTTGGGGGCGCAGAGTGCGACACAGTTTTCCGGATATAATGACACAGTTGTGGGTATGTAAATTCATTTTCGAGCGCATTTAAACCTAGACGTCTCACAGCGTATGCTCTTTGATTTTTACTAAATCAGTGTCAATTGATTGCAAAATTAATATAAAATTTACAAAAGAGACGAGAGATTTGCCAATTCTCAGGCTTGGCGGAGATATTTGCATCCAAAAAGGAGAAAATGCGCTCTAAAGTAGAAAAACTTTACAGTTTACTGCACTTTTTCTCCTCTTATTAGGAAAATATCTCTGCCAGAAGTGCCCATTTGGAGATCATGCCTTTTGCAAATTACACATTAATTACATTTGTGACCGATAGCTTAATCAAAATTGGAGAGCATACATATGCTGAGGGATAGATTAAAAACTATTAAAATATTATTATTCTCATAAGGTGCGGCTCACTACGACCAAGTTCAGTACATGTTTAACACGCCATTCTTTAAAGAAGTTGAGAGCGAGGAGGACATAAAATTTGGGAGGAAATTTATGGACGGTATCGTCCGATTTATAGGGACAGGGTACGTTCAATTAATGCAATAATTTATACGGTGTTCTCTGTTTCTCTGTTTGCGAGTTTGCTATTTTTTGCACTGCAAACCAAGGCAAGTGGCTACTTGCACCTGAAACACTAAGTTTATGTGGTTTATTGACAAAATACTTATTACAATTTTGAAAAAAATATATTTAGTGAGCCTCCCGCAGGAGGATGGGTTCCCGTGAATAAGGAAATGCTAGAAGGGTCCGTTCCCTTCATTTATAATCGAATTGGACACAAAACTAAGGCAGAGCAAATGGTGGAGACGTTCAGAAAGAGCGTCGACTTTTGGGACACACTTCCTCTTATAGAATACGGCAAGAAAATGGACCAATTTCCGGAATTTCTGGAAAGAGATGAACTAAAAGAATATGAGGAGAAAGACGGCGGAGACGAAATTCTACCAGGAGTGACGAAAGACGACATTGAGAGATTAAAGGCTAAACTTGAATTATAGAAATTTTAATAGTTACACAGAGGGCGGATATAGGTTTACGAAAAATCGCTGAAATATGTATTTAATATTTACGGAAAAATGGCCAAAATATAAATGAAATATTTGCAAAAAAATACAATTTGCTCTTCTAGATTTTTTGTGATCTAATTTCTTGAAGTTGTGTGTGATTTTGAGAAATTGAGAAAAAAGAGACTATGACGAATATTTTTATAACGTTAGATTGAAAACTTTGGAATCCAAATGTTGAGTTGGAAAAGTAATTGTTCAAAGTTGAAATTTTGTCAAATCAGGGTCAACATAATATAATTTAATAAAAAATAATAATTTCTAAATTATGCACATTATTTGGATGGGTGAGTAAAAAGTAAAACATTACATGTAAAGTTACTTTACATATTCTGCAAAAAACGGGATTTTGAAAAATTTCGCCAAATTTTTAAGAAAAATTTCTTAAAAATTTCCAAAAAATTTTGCCTCGTATGGTTGAAATATTTACAAACATGCATTTTAGAAAAAAAATATCTAAAAGATTTATAAAAACAAATATCAAATATCTATTAGCGGAAATACATCATCTGAATAGAAATATGCCAACAAATATGTAAAAATATTTTGCAATTTTTGTGTTATAAAAATTAAGGAACACCCCCCGACAATGTTTGACCGTCGGTCGTCTTCAAATAAAAAAGTTGAAAATAAATACATATCCACCCTTTGTTTATGCATGTAAATTTTTCTCACTTGGTTTATTATTTTCCCAGTCAAGAAAATGTACATATATTAAATTTATCGCTGATTTTTAAAAATTATGCCTACAAATTAGGAGCTGCCATGTTCAAAATACATCTTTGGTATAAATAAATTATTTACTTAACTAATTAATTAATTATTTAGTCAATATAATACTGAGATTTATCACCTAAATTAAATTAAGTGACTTTGTCAGCTATCCGTGGAAGAAGTGGGATCATTATTTTCTACGCTTCGACTCGATTCATCCGAATATTCGGATGACCTTCTGGAATCGCTTATCGACGACAAATCAACTGCAGGATCTTCAGTTCCAGTTTCTTCATCAGCATCGTCCGACTCTTTATCATCCGGAAGTCTGTAATTCACCGTTCGTGCCGCCGAGAACTCGCCAATTCCTCCTTCCGTCCGGGCAGCTAAGCGCATCCTATAAAGTGTCCCGGGAACCAAGTGATGTCGCAAAAATTCTGAAAATATGGATAAGTTTCCGATAAGAAAAATTTCCAAAGAATTTAAAATCTTAATGTGTCTCACTAACTTTTTTCGGAGTGAAACGTAATATTTGTCCATGGATCGCAGCTTGCCATTTTTCTAAATTGCAACGCGTACCCTTTGATGGGCAGAATTTCACCGAGTTCGTCCTTATCGACAAATCCTCGAGTTTGAATAATATGTAAATTTTTCCTGTGACGATTATGGAATCCGGTGACAGATACTAAAATTCCCGAGTTGGGAACCACGATCGTGTCAAAATCAGGCGTCGGTGGTTTCGAGGCACGACTGAGGAAAAAGTTTCGCTCAGAAGCCCCCAGTTCGTTGGATGCTCGACATGTGTACTCTCCCAGCGTGGCCTCCTTCACTTTCACCTGAAAAAGTAGGAGAAAAATGGTGACACATCGCCAAAATGGTCAAAATCAGCATATTTTAATCATTTCTCAGCTATGGGAATTTATTTTGAAATTCTGGACGACGATTTTTTAGAACAGGTTGTTCACAATATTTTAAAAATATACACTCCATATTTTGATAGTTTTTGAAGGAGGAGATCTCAAATTTTAAAAAATTCAGAAAAATTGAAAGTCATCGAAACTGGTTTAAAAAACTCATCATATTCTATTAATCAATAACTTACTGACTACTAATTTGTCGTCCAGAATTTTAAAATAAATTTCCATGATTAAAAATGTATTGATTTTAAGATTTTGGTGACAATCAAGTTTTAGAAAATACCTTTAAAATTGAGAAATTATCCTGCGTAGAAATGACCAGGATATTCCTATCCGCCGCATCCGGGTCTATACTCAAGCCACGAAATTTCCACTGAAATTCTGCCACCGGACTGGCTTGCACAATGCATCGGAGCTGCCTCCATTTATTTTCGAGCCCCCACAAAATATTCCCATTTTTTCGAGAGTGACCCTTGTCATCGATCTGAATAGGAGCATGACCAGATCGAAGAGATCGTAAATCTTGGACAAATTCGTCCTGCGACAAATCTTGGAAACTGGTTCGATGTTCACGATGCGACAATGAGTATGGGACACCGTTCACTAATGTGATAACTGCTAGTATAAGAACAAACGTCAAACTATCCGCGTGGGCCATTTTTTCGGGTTTAATTATATAAATAAAGTCACTTATTCACTTATTCACATATGCAAGTATTTCGTCAGCCTAAATTGTGCACAAAAAACTTAGCACACAAAATTTTGCAGAGGTTGCCACGCGTCTCTTTTTCCCAATATGGTTGAAGGTCGTCGAATCACTGAATCCCCAAAATTCTGGACGCACAGAACTTCACTCCAAAATTTGGTACAAAATTAGGCAGCGTCTTTTCCTCCCAAGATGTTTGAAGGTTGTCGAATCACTGACTGAATCCGAAAAATACGTGGCGCATCTAATTTATTAACTTGCCATGAGAGACTGATAAACAAACGTCACTGGCCAGTCCAAAGGTTGAAGAGCTTATGAGATGCTTGACTTGCATCACTTGGAGTGCGAAGATCGTTACTTTACGGGGAAACCCCTTAAGGAAATTGAAAGTTGTAGTGCTAATCTTACCGACTATACGACTCGAGTTCATACAGAGTAATGAATCTCGCAGGTGGATGTACATACATATTCATAACGTCCTATTTACTGACGTTTTGTGATGAATGTGTGATTATGAGTCATGCAATCGGCGTGCAGAAAAGTTAGCAAAAAATTGCTGACTTTAATCTACGCATAGTTGGTCTAGTCGGCCGAGATTTGCATGCTTACGTACGTACGTATCTGGTCATCTATAATTTGGATAAGTGTGACATGAGGAGGGAGTGACAATTTTTGCATAATTGGTGTAAATTGAGGATTTGCATAATTTTGCAAATAAATAAGTCAGTCAATTGTGCTTCTATGAAAATTCAAGTTTTTCCTCGTACATCATTCAATCCGTCATGTGTATACATAGTAAAACTCGCCTTGACCGTCACGCCACGCCACGCCAAGAAACTCCTCAGCCAGGGTTTTTTTGCAGCACTTATGTCTTGTTAAGTAGCTTCAGCTACTTTATGTGAAGACTTTGTCTGTCTGTCTGTCTGTCTGTCCGTCTGTCTGTCTGTCCGTCTGTCTGTCTGTCCGTCTGTCAGCAGGATAACGGGAGAACGGATAAAGATAATCGAAATCGGTTTTCGCCATCATACATAAGACCCCAGGGGGAGGATCCTATCAACTTTTGGGTGCAACCGGACCACACCCCCTGGAGCCAGGGGGTGTGGTCGGGGCAAAATGAGATTTTTAGTGCAATCGAATCTATGGATGAACTAGAGTGAAATTTTGTGTATCCCTGATGTGCCACACCCCCCGGGCGCCAGGGGGTGTGGTCGGGGCAAAATGAGATTTTTAGTGCAATTGATTCTATAGATGAATTAGAGTGAAATTTTGTGTATCCCTGAAGTGTCACACCCCCTAGGCGTCAGGGGGTGTGGTCGGGGCTAAATGAGATTTTTACAAAAATTGAATCTATATATGATATAGAGTCAAATTAAGTGTTCCCGAGTTGTGAGACAACTCCTGGGCGCCAGGGGGTGTGGTCGGGGCAAAATGAGATTAAAAAAAAATTGAATCTATAGCTGAAATAGAGTGAAATTAAGTGTTCCCGAGTTGTACCACACCCCCTGGGCGCCAGGGGGTGTTGTCGGGGAAAAATGAGATTTTCAGTGAAATTAAAAAAATGGATGAAATACACTGAAATTAAGTGTTCCCCCGCTGTCGTGGGGGTGGAGTGAATCTGAAGCTACTTCCGTATGCGCGTTTGCGAGGGTTTATTTATTGAGGTGAAGATGAGTTTGTATACAAATATTGTATTAATCAGTATACTCCTTGAAATACGCGTGTGTTTGTACATACACACCTACTGTAAGTGCATATTCTTGGTAAAACTTTGAAGTTAACGTTGTGATAAGTGCCATTGATTTTTTGCTTACATATTTTGAATAAGCGTAATTAGTAATGTATGCATGCTTGAGTGTAATACAGTTGTGCAGGTTAAATTTTAGATCCAAATTATTTGACATCATCTTATCATACCATTACTTAAAAAAATTGAATTTGGTTTTAAGATTACGTAGTTAATCCATTTTAAACTCCGTTTCACATTACGTGGTTCATCGCATTGAGTACATTAGCTGAATGAGCCGAATTATGATTTATTTATTTATTTTTTTAATTATTTTACATCAGTTATTTTTATTTTAGCATACAAATCATACGAAATTGAATAATTTAAACGCCAAAATAAAAATAATTGGCGTTTAAATTAATTTAATTACACAATTAAATTACACATTAAATTACACACATAATTAAATTACACAACTCAATTAAATAATTTAAACGCCAATTATTTTTATTTTGGCGTTTAAATTATTCAATTTCGTATGATTTGTATGCTAAAATAAAAATAATTGGTGTCAAATAATAAAATAATTCGGCTCGTTCGGCTAATGTACTCAATGTGATGAACTCACGTAATGTGAAACGGAGTTTACATGTTTAGCCAGTGCCACTTCTTATGGCATCGTCATATCCGTGAAGGAATCATTGTACCGATTTTGTCCACTTACGTATCAGTACTTCGTAGTCTTCTAAGCACAGGATAAGATGTGCATGATCGCCGATCATTGATCGATCTGGTGGTTGACCGGTGGGGGTAAATAACACTAACACCAAGTTTTATAAGTAAATAGTCATAACAACCTTTCCAGAGGTGCAAATCAGTTTGAACATGAAGTCAGATTCAAAAACACTTTTGTCGGGTGAAAGAATTGGAAAATTCTCAAAACCTTTTACCACATGGAGATATTAATGCAATGAAATTAATTTGGAGTTCCTAGACTCTCGTACATATGAAATATTGCTAATTTATGAAGAACAAGTACGTGTTTCCTTTCCTCCTGCAACTGTACATATTTTTTAAACATATATTCGCTATAATGTTGTGCAATATTACATGCAAAACACTTGCATGCATTTTCATTCAATTTTCCGTAACATTACAAAAGATTAATAGACATTAAATAAATATACATGAAATACCAAAAATTACTGTTTTTTGTCTCAGTCGATGTAAAGCATAACAGTTAAATTCTGTGCACAGCTCATTTCATTTCTTAATTTTCTAAATAACTTACTCAACTGGTCACTGTCTTGTGGTTTAAAAAAAATATATTTATGAAGGAAACTTCACCCATAAATATTAAGGATACATAAGTACATAAACATAGACTTGACCTCACCTCACCAATCGATACATTTTATCACCGTCTAAATATCTCCAACCAAAAACCAATTTAGCTCTACATACCACTTATCCATTCTACTCCAGTGCTGCTAAATAAGCACATAATTTAATTAGATCACACAAACCTTATGTATGTACTTATACACAAACAATGTATGCTGTGCATGCACTCATTGCTTAAACGCGTTGTATGTACATATAAATCTGTATCTATTCTATTACCATGCTACAAAAATCTTCAAGTAAAACGAAACTTGCAGTAAAGCCGTATGCTATTATATTCCACTCCACTTTATCATCCTACTCATCACGATGCAAGCAGTGGGATTGCTTTGCTTTTCATACGACTTTTGTTAAAGACCTCTCACTTGTAAACTTCAGTCGGGTTCAGTCATTCGCAGGGGACGAACGAGCTAAAACCACTTCTTTGTGTGGTCTGGTATTAGCGTTGCTTCGTTTCGTAGTTCGTTCATACTAGTTTAGCATAAAAATACATTACGAAATCTTGCCCAACTTCAAGCAATAATAGAATATTTTTTAGAAGAAATACAAAAAAGAACCAATTCTTTAATTGTAACAAAATTTCGAGTAGTTTCGTTCATCGACTTCCTGTTACGACAAGAACTAATCTTATGAATGGTTTTTAAGCTAAACGTGATTCGATTAAGAAAAAAAGTGAAAGATTTTTGCACGCCAATTTTGAAGGAATAATAATTAATAAGGAAGCTAAAACCACTCTCCAGGTATGCAAAAATAATTTTCTATTGTCTTATAAAAATAGCAAAGTATGTAAATGTTAATCAGACAGAAAGGGTGTAACCAATCATCGTCACAATTTTATAATTATTAAATTGACACGCAATTAGTAGATTTGCTGACTTGACTTGACGGGTACATGAATTTTCTGCCGTTACACATATTATTTTATTATTGTGCTCTAAATTACAAAAGCGAATTGTCAACCTTTTTGCAAGGAATTTATCATGGCCAATGTTTTTACAAGTTTACATTTCATTGGATTTCGCTCGCTACAATAATTTACATACATATTCGCTGTGCGAAAACTTCTGCAAAATCAAACTCTTTGTTGTCGAACAAATATTTTATTGGAAGTGTGATTGCATTTACAAATTGGTTTATTATTCGATTGAAACGACAGGTGTGTACATATAAAAATTACTTGCTAATCTTTACATTCATCTGATTTCGGAATAATTTATTGGTAAAAAAATAACTCTGATTCATATCGCATAATAATATCGATCACCAGACCTTCTGGTTTCATTGTTAATAAGTAAATAACAAGCTCTAAATATTTCCACGAAGCATATCTTTCCCAGAAATAAAAACGGCGTGACGGATTTGGACATCATCATCTCATGAAATGAAATCATCCTCGCTGTGCTGTGGTCAGTCTAGTTGCAATGTCGATCATCATCATCATCATTGTTATTTAGCAAGCAAAATGCAGTGGAGGATGTAATAAATATTATAAAATGAAATGAAATGTGGGATATAACTAGCTAGCAAAATGTAATATGTAACAGCAGCAGCAGGTACTAAATACAGACAGGTATATATTTTATGGTTTGGAAGGTAGTGCGTAATAATGTAAAGCTGATAATAAGATAGCAACAGAAACTTGCTTAGGACGACTTGGATTGTTGGTGGATGGACGACGGATGGCTGAATTTGTCCTTGAAAGTAACCTCAAGATACTGTTTTTAATCTTATGCTTAATAGCAAACAAAGTTCTGAGAAAGGGATATGATAAAATGTGAGCCTGAATATGTAGGTAGTAATATGTAACGTCTTTGCCTTGCCTAGCTTAAAAATGGGATGGACATACGTTATATATGCACAAATTGCCTGTAATAAGGAGTGTAAAATTGTGGTAAATACCTCCTGCAATACAATTCCATCCATATATAATATTTATTGTAAAAACGCGTCAAGTTTGCAGCTCTGACGTCACTGTGCTCGTATCCTTACCATGTGAGCCAACACCGTAGGATAGGAGCACAGTGACGTCAGAGCTGCAAACTTGACGCGTTTTTACAATATGTAGGGTGCATTTTAATTTTTATGATGATGGGTTCGTTTTCAGCAGTATTTCTCACATAGAAAAAAATGCATGCAAACTTAACAGTGAGGATTACTTATTATTCAGAGGCTTTTCATTACGCCTTTGAAAAATGTTAGTATGATTACATTACTTACATATACATACATTCTTTATTATCATGTATGAGGAAGTTTGGAGGGTTTTTGATGGTCAGATTCCTCCACTGAATTTTTGGGTTCAAAGACTAATTTATTGAGTTATTTAGTGCTGAATCAGTGTATCAATTCTATTGTTGAAAATTATTTGCGAGCCCATTTGCAATACAAACTTGAACTAAAAGGTTTGTTCAATACCGTGTGAATCGGATATCGTCGAAGTCACAGGTTTGTACTTGCGCAAATAATGTGCATGATCAAGGTGAATTTATTAATGGCGTCACTTCACTTGCTTGTTCTCACAGGTTGAGCTTCATTACACAAAATAATGTTTGTGTACATATGTATACCTAATTTCGCATTTTTGCAGTATATTTAGTTTACACATTGCCACTTTTCTTTTGTCTGCCTGTTTTTGGATCGTAATCCTAGCGTAAATTATGCTTCGTCAAGTTCGCTAATGTCCGAATCGTGTGGTTTACAACAGTTTCTGTTTCATTTTATTGCACCTTTTGTTAGTTAGTTAGTCAGTAATTTAAAATAGTAATGAACGTTGACATCATAGTTTTGAAGGACGTTCTTAATTCGTCATTAGAAGAATGTAAAGTAATTTACAAGTTTTTAAGGATTATTTACTTACTATTTTTAATGCGTAATGAATGAATTAAAATTCATATGCATCGAAATAAGGAAATGTTTCGAAATTGCGTATCTTAATTTTAACCCTGGTTTCAATTACTCGTTCTAATTTGTCATTACAAGAATGTACATGCCCTATACGCTCCTTAATTTGCAGGGTTTTAAGCATTACTATTTTTAATGTGGACAAACAAATGAATTAAAATTCATATGCATCGAAATAAAGAAATATTTCGAAATTTGCGTATTAATTTTAGTTTTAACCCTGGTTTCAATTTCCTTCACTAATTGCAGTACTTAAATTGCTCATTCATTCGTATTTAAATATTTCGTCACTGATTAATTCATACTTTTGTCATCGTCAATTCAATTCATTGCATTTTGAAGCCGTCGTCGACACGTTATTAAAATCACTTTGTATGTACCTCTCACCGAACATTACGTACATTGCGCTGTTAGTTAGCGTTATCTTTAATTCTATTCCCAATCAGATTGAATAATTGATTGCATCACAAGTATGACGTTGTTCTCTAACGCACTAAACTCGGACAAGTGTGTGTACTTTGGCCAAGTGGACAATTTACATATTGCAAATATTCGCAATATCCCAAGTAGTATGTATCAATATCGCTAAATAAATATGTACGTCTCGTTGAACGACTTCTGCATTACTCACTCACTCGGCACGACCATACGTCAATTTATAAATAATTATGATGACCGGTTATTCAATTACTTGATCGAGGAATAATTTAGCCGATAAATTATTTGTGAGTTATAGATAGATATTTTGCAATGTTGCGAATTTAGTAGGTAGATAAATATGCATACCTTGGTGAAGAGCAATATTTCACTTGTGCTGCTTCTTATTTCTTATTGTGATGATAAGTGGTTGATTGATTGATAAGTGCGCAGTTAAGAAAGGTCAACTCATTACTTAAGTGGGTATTACTATTATCTATTATTGTAAGGCTCAAGGTGTACATTGTTGGTTTGAAAAACTAGGACCTATTCACTCCCTCTTGGCCCAAATTGAATTAAATTTACCTGCATAATTTAATTTGGTCACTAAATTTACCATAATATGCAGATGATTGAAAGGCCAGCACATTAAGCGAGTTGTAAAAATTCCAGGTACGACCCCGATAAAATGATATTGATTCGAAGAATATTGATCCTTATGTCCCATTTCTCATCATAATTTCCTGGAATATTGACACGAATCAATAATTAAATAGTGACCCAGGACCCACCCACTCCATTATGCCGAATAATTGTGGTACTGTCACATTACAAATTGGTGGCTTCAAAGGGAAATATTTGCAGGTTAAAATTGGTCGATTATTAGTGAAAGAAGAAGTAGAAGGAGAACTTTGACAAAAAAATGTATGCATGCTTTTGCAATATGTTTGATGTCGACATGTTTGACATTTGATGTCAACGAAGCATTCTATTTGACTGTGCCGGATGTTCTTCAACAAATAATCCATTATTGCTACAAAAAAGTATGTACGTATCAAGTAAGGTTCACGGATGATTACGATAGGATAAGGAAGTCTGGAATGGTTTATTGTCAGATTGATTTATTTTGCAAATTTGCGAAATATTGGAGGCATAAATTATCTGATGAATTTTAAGATTTCCGGGGTGCAAATAATTTTTCAGAATTGATAAGTAGATATTTCTCCAGAGTTTAGATTAATTTTCGGCACTTTTACTTTGATGTGTGCTTATTGCCGATCGGGTTATTTTTGCAAGTTTGAAATATTGGAGGCATAAATTATCTCCTAGATTTTGAGACTTCCGGCTTGCGAATAATTTTTCAGAGAATAGATAAGTAGATATTTCTCCAGAATTTGGATTAACCACTTTTACCAGTACTTTGATGTGCGATATTTGCTACCCAAAAGAATGTGACGAAATACATTTCGGTCGAAGTGCGAGTGACACCATTTCCTATTTTGGTTTAATTCTGAAAATGAGAGTGAATACGATTAGGTATTATTTCTCCTCGAATATAGGAATGAATAGCTGCTCCAAATTCCATATAACAAACTGATCAATGCTTGCAGTTTGTCGGGCCATCAAACTATTCCATTCCTGGACATAGTCATATCTAGTTCCAGACTTTCCTTTGTTCATGGGACGTACATATGTGTCCCATTTTTTGTATTATTCACGTATTTTCGGTGTAAAAACGGGGATGAAAATGACGTTTGTCTATTATGGAGAAGTACACAAAGTCTGAAATTTTGATTAGGACATGTAGTAGGATTTAGGTCGATTTTTACTGTCCGATTTTATGCACTAGCGTCCGTCTACTATATTTCAAAACATTTGCTTGCTTAACACAGTCCACTTATTCCTCGCTTTAACCTACTTCTTGTACATGCGAATGTGAGCGAAGGTGGATTGGCAGATAAATGCATAAAAGCTTAAAATGAAGGGGTTAACGTAGTGGCTACGGCTCGATTAAATGGGATAAAAATACTATAAATTACGTTCAACCATGTTCGTGGGGTTGAGTATGTGGTACAATTCGAAATTATGGATTTCCTGATAGTTACATAGGAAATTGCATGAATTTTGTGCTAAAACCTGGGTCAATATTGATTCGTTCTCAATATTTAGTGCAAAGTTTGGCAAAGTGAGCAAAAAATTTAGATAATTGCCACATTTTTGTCGTCGTACATGAAATGACAGTTCAAACTTCAAAGAATTATTCCTCCCTCCTCCACAAATCTTTGCATTTGGTCATTTTATTTTCGCACAGTCAAAAAGTACCTATTCACTCGGTACTCCTCCATAAAACAGGACTTTTTACCACTTCCAAGTAGCTAGCAAGCAGATGAACAAGATTCATAAAAAAACTGATGGGAATCCCAATGATTTTAACCAGTCATAGTAGAACAAGTATGGAAGCAACTGGTTCCATTCCATGATTTTACTGGCTAAAATACATATCTATGTATTTATGTAGCTTGAATTGAATGGCAAAGTCACAATTAATCAGGTATAACGACGTGGCGAAATTTCTACTCCTTTTACAATCTCAATTTAAGATCCTGGATGACTATTGGTCAAAAATACAGTATTTGATGCCTGTTTTACCCTGCCTATCAATATTGCATTGCATTGTTAACACAAAAAAATTTACAAATATCTAAAGTTAAGAACAGATCACTTGTTGGATTAGGGCGGATAAACTTTATAATAAAATTGCATTTTCTTGACAGGAAGTGTACATATCTACTAAAATAAACCAAGGTTCTCTTCGTCATTTTGTCTTCAGTTGATGGACATGTATACATTTACATGCTATAAAATTTTTCCTTTACATATTCATTCACATGCTAGTAAAATTGGGCAGAAATACATACATACTTACTCACAATTGAGGTATGGTTGACAGAATTGTGTGCAAAAAAGAGGCGAAATAAACTCCATCATCGTCATCTCTCTCAGCCGTCGCCTTCGTCATGTCGTGAATGAAATTAAGTTTACAGAGATTGTTTTTTTGTGTCAAATCAAAGCAAACAAATATATATGTACATACGCGCCGTCATATTTTATTCACACGTTTTGCACAAGAAGTTTTCGCATCTGTGAGAAGAGACAAATTCAGAATAGATAAGACAGATTTTCTGCAAATGCAAATGTATCCAAGTTGTGTGAATATGAATGAGTTTTGTCATTCTATAAATAAAAATAATAACTTCATTCGCATACATACATACATAAGTCTTGTAGTAAAACATTAGTTTAAGTATCAGCTTAATGAGACTCTCACGCATAAATTATCTGAATAATGCCTAAATATGACAATTTACATCTTTGTAAAATGAGCATGGAATGCAATAATGGACACGAAGAAATGACCATGTCATAAAATAAAGTTGAATTGGACATAATTTTCGTACTTGGCGTGGCGATTTCGCATCTGATTGTAAAAAAATGGCTCAACAATATGCATATGCAAATATGCACGTATTTTGGATAATTGTCATCGTGTTAGAAAGTTTTTGTTGGTGTAAGCAAGTAAAACGGCACATACGTCAAGGAAAAAGTGGTGTTGACCACGTTTCTTTATTGCACTTATCTCCCGATATTTTCCTCATTTATTGGAAACTGACGAACGATTGACGCATGAGACAACACACAATTGGTTTCGGAAATTGGAGGTTTTGGATTGTCCGTAAATCTGCACTATAAAAAACAATTAATCCTTTATGGTCGATTCGGTTTATTGCTGGTTTTTGAGCATCTCTTCATTTCAGTAATATTGTCGGCATTACAAAGCAGCCCAGGGTTTTAGGGGGATTTCTATCGTAGACTTTAGTGGTTGACGTACATATGCACACTTCCACCCATGGGAAATAGTCGAAATAGGTATACAGTTTAGTTTACTTATCAACATATTTATTTATTAGATTAGAGCAATTCATAAAATTTTCCTAAACATGTAAGTCAATTGTTCTGAATCAGGTTTATGAATTTTATTATTTTGTGCTGGAAGTTGCGGTGAACAAATTGCTTATTAACCTTCAAGATAATTTTGTTCTTGTACTTGTACTTGTAACCTCCGGAAATTTGGTTTGATATAAATATTGACTTGATCAAGTAATCGTGCTTATATAATTTTTGTGTAATAAATATAAAGATTAGTCATCCATCCATCCAGACATAATTTTATCCAGTCAATTTTTTGTCAATGGACAAAGAAACATACTACAAGAGTGACTTACTTTCTTATCTGACTGAGTGAGTGAGTGATTTGATTATAATAAGAATAATTAATCGATAATTAATTACATTACTAATTTCCTATCGGCGACGACATATCTTTGTGTACTTTAGGGTTTTTTATGATAACAAACCCCTTATCCCAAGGTTTCCAGGTAAAGCTTCAATCTGTAACACTACAAGCCGTGTGTGAATAAGTCATCACTTGACTTATCACTATAATGTACATTTAAGCGTTGATAAGTCATCAATTACGATACGATTATCACGTCAGGTGCAATTGTTTTAAAACCGTGGTCTTGAACTTGACCGAGTAAAAAATTCGTGCAAATTTTACATACAGTACATAATACTTTTTGAAAACTTATATAATTACCGAAATCATAATTCGGTTTATCAACAATAAGGTTTGCTTTACGAAACAAAACAATAAATAAATGAGCTTGTAGATGAGATAGACCGCAGTCACAGGTATTTGCATATTTGGTTATGTAGGTACGTATGTATAAGTAGTTATAAATGGATCAAGTAATTCGATCCTGTCGAACCCGATACAGTCAATGGTGGTAAAAAAATTTCGCAATTAAGTATTTATCAATTATCTCGCATCATACATCCAATAAAATCTAAACACAAATTCCCTTAATGCTACATTCCCGTCTAAATTGGACTATTAAACATTTATATAAATTTTATGGTATGGAATGGATGGAGTACTTTAATTACTGATCATGCATCTCACTCCTGTCAATTGAGTGGATATCTTTGTACTCATAATATTATGGTACATGTGTCATCCTAGGTTAGGCACCGTGCATTATAAAATTAGACCAATAATCGGATTAAGAATGTAATTGATGGGACCACTACAACAATAATTGTTTGGCCTTGGATAGATATCAATCATAATATGTTTTAAGTTTTTTCAATTGTTAATTTGACATTCCTGGAGATATCGTGCCATACAGAATGTAAACTATTAATCCACTTGTACCACTAGTTGAGTGACAGGTCTGATCAGGTTTCTGCTGGCGTCTGGTCACTAAACAAACACGTGGGGACATAAAACCTGAAAGCGATGAGAAAAGTGCAAAAATAGGTGGTTAGAGTACCGGGTGAACTTTTGTCAAATATTTTAAGGGTAATTGCCCTTAACATAATTTGCGATCACGTGTATGCAATTAATTCAATTATCTTGCTGTATTTTGTCTTGTGCGTCAATCATTAATCTTTATTTGATTAATGGCTCGGCAGACGAATTAATCGACCGGCTTTGTCTAAATGTGGGCATGTTTAGCAAGCACCGATTTTCACACATTTTCTCTCGTCAAGTGTCTTGTGAAATGTGTATCACCTGAAATTGACCAATCCGTCTGTATATATAAACAATTACCTCAACTGGCATACAAATTTGTACCCTCTTTGTGCTGCGAATTGCCAAATTATTGATTACGGACGGATCATCAAATTCTGTCGATGATGGAGTCATATGTATGCATAGGAATGAGCGGGGTGCGTGATTCTGTCCAGATAAGTAGAGTAGGCATCATTGATAAGCCATCTCACCGTGATGACTGATCTGTATAAGTCAGTCATCATGGGATTTTTAGAAACGTGTTTCACAGCATGTCACGTACGCACTCGTACAACAACTTAACCCTTTTTCTAGTCCAGAAAAACTGGGCGATTTTCTTTATCATGGAATAATCTCAAATATCGACTACTTTTCTTCTACTACTTTCTCATAAAAAAGCTTCCGAAACACCCGGCGTCCAGTGCTATTCAAGGATTCATGGATTCTAACGGGTCAAGCACCTCTTAATTATTAATGGGCCTGTCATGCCCACCTGCCATTCGAAAATCAAACCCAGGTCTTATACACATATGAAGGTGCTATATCCCATTAATTCCATTAATTAACATTAGCGAGGTTTTTGCGTTTTGTTACTTCACTGTCGGCGATTATTGGAGCTGTTGCGTGCAAAAGTATGTACATACACTTGGATTTCCACACGTTGCGTGTGTGTGTGTGTGTTTTTGGGGGAACAAAAATGACATTTTCTGATCGATTCATCATTTTATTACAAGGTTTTCATTTTTTTACTACGTGAATTTGACTAAATTCGACCCAAGGCCCCTCATATTTTCCTTATTTTCTTGTCCTCCCTGTCGAAATATGTATTCGACACGAGAATAAATAACTGACTTCGTCTTCTTCATCAAAACATGCAAATTTGAAACAAATGTGTGTGTTCTGTTCAGTAGAAAAACTCTTTTCCGTTCGTTCGTTCGTAGTTTCGTATGTAGTCATTAAGTTCTCATTGAGCGTTCTTTGACTCTCGCAAAAATAAATGGACTCTTCAAATTGCCGTGGCCATTTTTTACATGGTTTTTATGCATGTTCTCTGCTTAATGTGAAGCTAGCTACATTGGTCTTTGTAGGAGAGGGAGAGGGATACATAAGTATGCAAAAAAACAAATTTCCTGTCGTCGTTAACTCTAGAATTCGCATGAATGAATGAATGTATTATTTTCTGTTCAACTGCAGGAGGGGATTGATTGCTTTGGGTTTTGTTTGACTGACAAAGATTTGCACCATATTTTGCATTGTTGGGGAAAAATGGGGAAATTTTGTGTCATTGTTTGGACACAACGCTGTCTCGTTTAGTAGATATTCACCCTTTTTGGTTAGGCGTGCAGTGAATGCGTGTGATGTATCTAAAGAATAGAAGGATCAAATTGAAATGTTGAGCAATTTTATTTTTCTAGGGACAAATTGGATATTCATTTATACATTGTAGAAAATTATGCGTAACTAAAATGCGATCATTTTATGGGGGACAGACCTAGTTTTTTAAACTTGTCAAGTTTGGTCTTTGCCGTACAAGTACTATAAAATTGCGTTTTGGTAGACGTGTTTATCTGAAATGGTATTAAGAAATTTGATATATTTCTATAATTTTTTTTGTCCCGAAACCCTCTCAATTTTACAAAAGTAAAAAAAATTGAAAATCTACACATACATTTTTTAAAATGCAATTTTCTCTATTATTTTAGCTTTGCTGAACATTTTCACCCCACTTCTCGTCACTCTGACAGAAGAATGACGCCCACCCACGCGGTTGCCATCCTCCTCGTCGCCATCGGCTTGTCGTCACACTATGTGGCCGGCTACCAAGGGGGAGCTCCAGCCTCGGGGGACATTTGTGAATCGATGATCCCCGGTCACAAAGCGCGTCCACAGGACCCTGCCACCAATCCGTACACCGTCACGGTGTCAAACCTCCGGCCAAAAGGGGGCGAAACTGTGCTCATCACGTTGAACGCACCAGCGTCACAGCCTCCTTTTAAAGGTATCCATCCGTCTTAGGACATCTTAGGTCCTTAGCGTATGGAGAAGTCATCACCGAAATAGTCAAAATCAGCACATTCTCAATCAATTCTCAGATCTGAGAATATATTTTAGAATTTTGGGCGTTCCCATTAAAAAAAAATATACACTCCAGATTTTTACACTTTTTGAAGATCTCATGTTCTTAAAAACCTTTAGAAAAAATGGAACTTGCCGAAACTGGCTTAAAAACTCGCAACTCTGCTATTCATAAATTCACTGACTACAAATTTGTGGTCCAGAATTTTAAAATAAACTCCCGGAGGCGAAACATGATTACAAACGTGCGGATTTTGACGATGAGTCATCTTCGAGTCTTACGCTAACTCTTGTTTAAATTTAAATTAAATGGCAATTTGCAATAAGAATCTTTTTTTGGACAGGGTTTTTGGTCATGGTGAAGAAAGCGGGGGACAAGACGACCAACCTTGGCAGATTTAATGCAACCTACGCCCCCGCTGTATCGCAGGCGATTAGCTGCTTCGGAAATTCCAGGAGTGCCATGACCCACGTGAGCGGTAGCGAAAAGAATTCCGTCACCGTGGCCTGGATTGCTCCTAATGAGAATTTGGACGGTCTCGAAATTACGTATGATTACTAAATGTGTGCACAAAATTTGCGTCGAAAATTGACTAATTTCGTATTTTTGCTCCAGCTCCACTTTTGTCAAGACGGGGTCAGAATATTGGACACATATCAGCCACCCAGAAAAGTTGACCGTCGTAAAAGATAACGACTTGACGACTCAGTCACCCATCGAGGTATGCACATATACGTATTAAAAAACATGTAAAAGATTTATGTACTTTACATATTTTCTCTCTATTAATAGAAGAGTAAATTGTTGCATGTACAGTTTGTAATTCTATTTTTCTTGTATAATTCAGGGCGGAATTTCTGACGAACTTCGTAGAAGGTTACAAACAGTGTACAAGGCTTGCGGAGAGTCCACGGGATGTTTCGGATTTCCGGATAATTGCGTCGCCCGCTTCTTGGCCACTCAGTCGGAAGCAAATCCAAAAACTTGCACGATTTTGACCAGCTTTGCAGCGGTTGGGGAAAGAAATGTGTACACTTTGGTGGGACGTCCTTCCACTGACGACAGCACGACGGGCTACATTGCTCTGGGAATGTCGGATGATGTCAAGATGGTGCGATTTATTGGATAATTTATGTAAATAATAATAGGTGTTTAATTTGCATAATTGCTGATTTCCCAGGGTCAAGATTCCGTCGTTGGATGTTTTATCAACAGTGGTACTCCAGCAATTCACAGATTTTACAATCCTGGCAAGAGCAACACGAAAGCGGAGGTGAGTCGATTATAAGCCAAAAAATTGTCGGGATTTTAATTATTCTTATTTAATTTTCTCTCGCAGTCTCCAAGTTTGGGATTAGTTTCGAAATCTGCCTCGCTCGATGATGGCTACCTTTTCTGCGAGTTTGAGCAAACCGATCACGATGTTCCCGGACTGGGTGTGAAACTTCGGGACTCAAAGTACCACTATCTTTTAGCCCGAGGAACTTCCGCTTCTCCAAGTATGCACGAACCTTTTGAACCACTAATGAGTATTCAGTCTCAAAAATGTTAACCTTTTCTGTTAGACGGGCTAACGCCACACGGAGCGATCGGGGCTGACGCTTCTCCATCCAGCGATGCGATCCATATCACAGATTTAATCATTTTTGGAGGTGAGAACAATAAACGTATCTTGATCCAACTTCACGGATCCATCATGATTGTGGCCTGGCTTCTCTGCGCTTCAACGGGCATGTTCACCGCACGTTATTACAAACTGACGCATACCGACGTTATGCCGTTTAAGAAGGCGTTCTGGTTTGTGGTAGGTTTCCAAAGATTAAAAAATTGTTTTCATGCAAATACATATTCAATCTTTAAGAAATTTTTCGTCGTTTTTTAGCTCCATCTCTTCTGCATGTTCTCCACCGCAATTCTCACGGTCGTGGGGGCAATTCTCATCATCGTTTACAAGAAGGAATACTCGTTCAAGTCGTCGGACAAGGTTCACTGGCACCCAATCTTGGGCACGGTGCTCTTTGGCCTTGCATTTTTCCAGGTTTGCATCGCCTTCATGCGTCCCCACCCTGGCACGAAGATGAGACCCATTTTCAACTGGGTGCATTGGACGATTGGAAATTCTGCGCATATTGTTGGCAGTAAGGAAATATATTTAAAATCGTGGGTTCGATTTGTGAAACGTGAAAGCGGGGGGCAAAAATCGTTTTCAGATCTTTTTTAGGTTTTTTTTTTTTACGGGCCGTGGGAATTTTCCAGGATTTTCTTCCCTCCGTTTTCCGAAAAAGATAGAAATCGAACCCACTTAGAAATGTAAATATTTGGTGAACAGTTTTCTAGAATGTATATTTTTTGCACAGTTGCCTGTATCTTTTTGGCCAATGGTTTACAACCTGCGAATCTCGAGAAGGATGAGTACATGTTTATCATGATGGGAGCAGTTTTGTTCCACATTGTGATGCATCTCATCATGTCGGTGAGTAGTGGCTTATTCTTATTCTGCGACATTTTACAAATTCATGACCCTGATAATAATTTTGATTCATTCTTTAGTTTCACACGTTATGGGCTGACAAACAAATGGACACAAAGAGCAAACGTGCCGTCGTGCCGGGACCAATGAAGCCGAATGGTCTCTCCAGCGAAGCGCCTGTACGTTAAGGAATAAAAATCCACATATTTTTGAATAAATAAGATAAAATTTTGATCGGAATATTTGTGCCTTGCAGGGAACCGGTTTCCGCTCAGGAATGTTGGTTATCTACTTTTTAGGCCTGTTTGGCTGTGCTGCTGCCCTCTTATATTTCGTCTGTCGCCCACTAGAAGTTTTAGACGCTTAAAGTTAAAAACCACCTTCGTCAAATGTTCGGAATTAAAACTCAAGTTTTTCTAAATTTCTTAATATTTCCGAACTTTTTATTATAAATAATTTGTCGATTCATTATAGAATAATAATAGGTAATTATATCTCGTAACGGATTGACTGTTCCAAAGTTGGCTGATTTTTTATAGTGAATGGTCCTTAATTAATATGTAACAATTACGTTTTATTTTCAGTCTGTGATTTTGCTTTATGCGTAATAATTAAGGATTAATTTAGGAATACATAACTAATCCTAAGTGCTATTTGTAAAGTTTGGGGTAAAGAATACGAGGGGTATGTACTGTACTTACTGAAATGGTACTTTTTATAGAATTAAGGTTATCAACACAACGTTTGTTCGGTTTATTTATTCTGGAAAACACGGTTTTTCATATTAATATTGCAATAATAACACACAAATTATGGATAAGAACACGCCAGATTAGAAGAATTGAAACGTATTTACGCCAATTGTTTGCCATGCAAAGTTTACTTCATAATTTTAGAGAGCTTCTTAATAAATATTTGTATTTTACACTTTCGGATTAAAATTAAATATGTCACGTGAAAAATGTGAAACTTTTCAATTAATGTAATGATTAATTAGGGTATGCATGTACGGGTACGAGTTTTAAATTTTTGGGGGCGTGGGTTCAAATATGTAGCCCTCTATACAGACCGGTATAAAGGGATTTTTTTTATATTCCCTATAAAATAAAACTAATCTTTAAAAAATTCCACTTTTTTGTAACAATAATTATTTTAATATTTCTTTTCAAAAACTTATCGTACTGAAAAATAAAAGGAAATTGAATTGAATAAAAGGAAAGTTTTAATTAAAAATGACCCCGGAGAAGCTTGATGAATTAAATTCTTTGTCTCACTTTGATCCGTCGCGTTCCTTTATAAATAGAAATAGATGAAGATTGAGATCAACTGTTGCTGTTGAATTAATGGGCACGACGACGACTAACTACAGATAAAACTCTGTGTAGCCGTATTCATTCTTCTGCTGTGTATTATATTCTGGGAGAGAGAAGAATAAGTTCTGGGTGCTGGTAAACCTTGATAAAAAGTTGGAAATGGAATAAAATGTCACGGTCTTTACCGTCACTTAACCTTCTGGAAGAAGAACAAAGGACTTTCTTTTCCGTTGTAGGGATGCGAACAGTGTTTCGTTTCTTGCGGGTTTGCTACATTTTTGTAATGTACAGTAAAAAGTGAAAGAAATGCGAGGTGCAAGAAACTGGGAGAAAGTGCAAGAAATGTGCGCTATCTTGCCACCGTATGAAGTCTAGCGGCGGGGCATAGTTTCCTGCGGTACCCATTTCTTGCAGGCGAAAATAGTTACAACAAACCAATTTCTTGTCGTTATTTCTTTCAAGTGGTTACTTGCAGTGTTTCACTTCTTGCGAATTTGTCATATTTCTTGTACTGCAAAGCAAGAAAAGAAATGCGAGGTGCAAGAACTGCAATAAATACGCGCAATCTAGCCCCGAGCCATATTTAAATTATGAAGTATAGAGGCGAGAAGAAGTTTCTTGTGTCTTGAATTTCTTGCAGGCAAAAAACACTTTTTTGTCCTTATTTCTTGCAAGTGGTTCCTTGCACCCGAACGAAACACTGGATGCGGATGCTGATGGAAGAAGAAATAAATTCAGGAGATGAGATGAGACAAAGGACTTTCTTTCCCTTTTCCAAACAAGGACGAGGAGGAGGAGATGAAGACGAGAAGAGAAAATAGGAAGGAGAGAGACTGTCAGATTAAATAAAAGTGAAAAAATGAGGTTGATCTGGATGAACGATTATGATGATAATGATGATGAAAGATCCAATCCAATCCAGGTGAAAGGAGATCCAATTACTTTTTTTTCTTTAGCTTGCCAGCTTTTCAGAGAATTTTTGTGGTTGGGTGAATTTCAAATTTACGAATATGTATGTATTTTCTGGCTGGATGGGGAAGAAGGAATGAGTTGATTTTTTAAGTGGATGTTAAAACCTTGACGGGTAAGATTTACAAGTGAAAGCCAAGAAAATTCAGAAAATCTTGAAATTGTGAAATTTGTATGCCGAAATATGTTTTTTTGTGAATTTGAACAATCATGTACTTGGTAAAGATGTAAAGGAATGTTGGGATAGTTGGGAAGCACAATTTTGTGTACAATTGTCTCAATTTTGTAATTTTATAGAAGGAAAGAATTGATTTTTTTTAATTTCTATTAAATCATGGAACCAGAAAAATTCGAAAAAAACTTTACATTAAATTTTTACACAAAGTGTTTTTTAAAAATTTATTTATTATTAAACACGGAGTCGCAAATAGAGAAATTAGCTCTTGTTGATCACCAAATGTAAACAAGTATGCCGTAAATATTGATCCAAATGTGTGTAAGACTTGCTACAAAGTCTGAATTTAGTACATAAACTCGTCGTCTCTCTCTCAAATTCTTCATTTCTCATCATAAAGTGATTCAGAAATCGAATCAGAGCAATAAAAACGCTGAATATGGCAATCCTTCCACTCGACGTGATTTCATAAGGCTCACTTTCTTCCTTCCTGGCCATTCACCTCGTCCTCCTGCTCCTTCACCCTTCACAACTTTACTTTACTTTACACACTCCGTTGTTATATTTATCAAACCTAATCACAAATCCAATTCTTAACGCTTAGCTTGGAATACAATGGGGTGCGGGAAGTGGGTGCGTGTTGTACGTAGTAAATTCACTCCTCGCAAGGCAAACTTTCCCTCATATTCGGAAGAAGAGTGCCAAAGGCCAAGCTGACGATAAGCCAGGCACACATTTCTCCAATCCTTCTTCTCTCCTCTTCCTGCATAAGCACATTTTCTCCACCACACAAAAGCAGGCAGGCAGGCAAGGTTACACTTACGGGATCGCATTGATTTAACGGTGTAAAAGTTACAGCAATAATAATGCAGGCAGGAGCAGAAGGAAATCCTGCTCCCACGTTCTGCCCGGAAAAAGCAGTGAGGAAAAAACGGGAAATTTCCAATTGTGTCCAGGAATAGAGTTTCCATTAATTTACAAAACCGAGGAATAGCCATTTTATCTTTATGCGTACTTAATAATATGATTTTTCTAATAAAAAATATTCGACGTTGTTCATTCACAAAAATTAGTAATTAATTAAATAACATTAAACTCAGTCTAAAATTAAGATTCTCCCCATAATTTATACATATTTTACCGAATTTTTAACCATTCCTCGGTCCCATCTGTCCCTACCTTCAATTCCGCTCTGCCAGAATAATATGGAGAAAAGTAAAGCAGCAGCAGCAAACCAATAAGTTGTTCAACTCCCGGGTTCCCACTTCCTTCGCTGCTTTACTTCTTTCTCTCAGAGGGGAAAGCGTACTGGATCAATATATTTTCCCCGTTTCGGGTAAATCGGAGAAATTCGGGTGAAATTCCCCTCGTCGCAATCCCAAATGCAATGTTTTCCCGTGTCAGCTCAGCTCAGTAGTCGACTGGACGGGCATGGAGAGTGATTCACTCACTCCAAGTTCAAACTCTTTCATTGACCGACCGACCCAAGAAGATTATAGAATCCGATCGTCTTAAAAACAAACCAAACTTAAAAGCATTCTTGTGCTTGGGAAGATTCGCTGGGTAAAAACATGATACATTTTTAATGAAACTGAACCCACAAAGAATTACCGAAGAGACTCTCACTCTCAGTGCTGCACGTTCTCTCAGAGGTCAAATCGAAGTGAGCAGTGAGTGACAGGAGAAAAAAAAACTTTACCTTTTTTACATTTTTCATCCCAAAGAAAAGTTAAATTTATTAGGAAAGGATTGTTTTTGGAGGAAGTCAAAGAAGAAGAAAACTTAATTGTTCTCCGGATGTAAATGTACACAAATTCGTGACAAAGTTTGTTCAACTATAATTTTATTATTATTATTAGTTGTTTGTTGTTGGAATTAATGATGGAAGGCAGTCCCCGGCGGAGGACGGGGAGGCGACTTTCCTTTCTCAATTGCTGTCTCGTTTTGACACTGTTTTCGTCCTCGTCGTCATCCTCCTCCGTCGTCGTGGGTGCCAACGAGACGGACGTTAACGCACTTGGAGGCGAGTTCGAGGCCGCTTTTCAAGGTAAGCATTTGAACAGTTGCATCATAACGGTTCACGTAACGAGGCCTGCTCGTTTACGAATTGCGACTTCTCTGACAGTTTGTACATACACTTTCATCAAACTTTTATGAAATGTCTCGTCGCAATAATAACACTTGGGGAAAATTGTTCATACTTTTTTTCCAGCACGATTTACGCTCCTCTCCATCTGAATTATTGATCACGTACCACGTACCGAAGAAAAGTAATGAGTGAGGATGAGGAGGACGAAAAGAGCAAAAATTTCTGAAAAAAAATATCCGGATGATAGATAATTCAAATCCTTTGTTATCTTTATGTATACTCGGAGTAAAATTCCATTATTATGCAACGGACAAAACCTTCGCCTCAGCCTTTTCTCCTGTGCAATGGAATAATATGGATGTGAAACGAAACTTGAGTAGGATTTGCAAACACAAATGGCAAATTTCGTGGGAATTTGTCCACCTGCCATGTATCCCATCACCTGTAGGCTCTCTCTACAACCTTTGGGAATGAATTATGGTATTTATGCAATGTAATCTTTGCTCGAATTTGAATTTGGGCCATATTTAGAATTGTACTATGGTCTAGGTTGGACACGAAAGTGGAAAGAAATTGGAAAAGTACAATTTATTTTAAAAACTAGAGAAAACTGGAAAAAATTGCGTAACTGAGTCTAGCCAAACTTGAATTTAGCCCATATTTAAAATTGTATCGTCTGGCCTGGACCAAACTACAATTTTCCTTAAAACTGAAAAAAGAACCAGAGAAAAATGGAAAAAATTGCATAACTGGCTTGAATTCCGGGTAGAATAATGAATGTGTCTAACCAACCATCCAGTTTAATAGGTATCGCTATAAAAAGGGCGAGAATGGTGGAATTATTGCAGGTGGACGTGGAGGAAACTGGGAGAGTGAACATAATGAGATTTATTATCAAGTGACTTTCCCTCAAGTTGGCTGAGCTGAACGAAGGTGAAACCCGTCACATTAAATAAATTGCTTTCACTGAGACTACCTGTCTGCCTGCCCTGTAAGTCAAAATTATGCTGGTAACCGACCCACCGACCACGCCACGCCACGCTGTTATACGAATACGAATTTTATGCATACGAACCAGGAATTAGGGCAAGATGCAAATTATACATACCAACTTTCTCTGCCCAGCAGCATATGCAAATTAGAGGGGAGAGGCATTTTATTATAAAATTTGGCTGCCTAGTACGTCTTGGTACTCATTGTGCCCCACCTGCGGCGATGCATGCCAACCTATTCACCATTTCGAAATACTTGGTTATTATGCAGAATAGGAAATCGCTTTTCCGCCTGGGACCAAGTTTTTCGGGTAATCCAAACTTTAGCGGATTGCGAAAAATAGAGGTTGTTTTGCATAATTTAGCAAATTAGTTAATGCCATATTTTGATTTGATAATGTCATGTAATGTAATGTAATAAATATGAGCACGATATTTTTTTGTTTGTAAAGGTTAACATTATTTTTGGGATGGGGGGAAATGAAATCAATAAAAATGGGCTTTCGGCCCGTAATAAATTTAATTTTTATATGGGATGTTACACAACTCGGCTCAATTTCTTATGTAACAATGTCAGATAAATATTAGGTTTGAATCACCCCAATCAAAATAAATACGTTACATAATTTCTAATCATGTCAGAAATGACGACACAAATTAAGCCGACGAGACATTGCATAATGGTGCACAACGCAGCACCCTTGAGACGATCAACCTGACACGTGGTAATTACAACAAAACTTGAAGTATGTTTATTCAGGAAGAAAGTATAAGTTTTCGTTGGATGCAGGCAGCATTTCACTCTTCAAAATAAACAGTCACCCAAACGAACATAATAAAGTGGCATCATTTGTAAAATAACTCATGAAAATATTGTGATTTATAACCTTTGACCTCATCCTCACGGTCATGGGTTGGTCGGAGATCAAAAATATTGACGGCATTGAATTCATGGTGAAATTTCCCTTAAAATGACACCACCTATGAAAATTAAGGTTAAATTTAATTTTGGACCACACCCCCTCGCGCTGTGGGGGTGTTCCAATTTTCCCCATTATCGAACTCAACCTAGAATAAAAAATTAAAAGCACAATTCCGAAAACGGGGTTTCATTATGTTGACGCGTTCTAGAGATATGTATCCTGCCCACAGACGGACATATACGGACAGACAAAACGATCACAACAAGCGCCTCACGCCACTTAATAAAATAGCAACTCTCTGCCTCCATATTATGTCGTGTCACTCACTATTCTTGAGCAAGTCAAAGGCAGCCAGTGCATTGGCCACGTAGACTTTATAGCTGGGACAAAAGGGGACAATACTGCATCCTCAAGTCAGGAAAGGCAGGCAGACAGATTTTCACTCCGACAAGCACAGCCAGTAAACGATCTGAAATCCTGGTAAGGTAGAGAGAGAGACGTGGTTTGGTTTAGTGTATGATTTTCTACTTTCTCTCTCCGCATGAAAAGGTCCATAAGCAGGATTTTGCTGGGAGAAAGCGCGATCCGAGAGTAGTGTGCGACAGGGACGAATGGCGGAGGTGGGACTCCATATTTCACCTGTCAACAAATATTTCTCAACTCACTTTTCTCCCATTTAATAAAGCAACGAGAGCCAAGAGAGAGAAAGTGGGCAAACATTTGCATCCTCGCTTATTCGAACCAGCACCAATAACAGCAGGCATCACATTACAGAAAACATGCAAATCTGCGTAATGGGAAACTTTTGAAATAAAAGTTGTTTTTATTTACGTCGGTACAGTAAAATGACAAAAATTGTGGGGAGTAAAGACGAGACGTGAGTTTTTTTGGATAATAATAACATGTTTTTTGTTTGGTGGATAATGTGACACAATTTCGGGACGCATTTATGGAATGAGAAATAAAATACGTTATGTCGCTGCACGTTATTATTTATGTACGTATGAAAAGTAACGTAGGACTTGATGATTCATCGTCAAAATGGGAAAAATCAGGATATTTCTCGGCTCTGGGAATTTATTTCAAAATTCTGGATTACGAGTTTATAGTGCAGGTCGTTGCAAAGTTTTTAAAAATATACACTCCAGATTTTGAAAGTTTTTGAAGGTGGAAATCTCAAGTTTAAGAAGCCTTCAGAAAAGTTGGAACTCGTCTAAACTGGGTTAAAAAACTCACCGCCATTCTATTAATCAACTTACTGACTAGAAATTTGTCGCCCAGAATTTTAAAATTCCTAGAGGCAAGAAATGATTAAAAATTTGCCAGTTTTGACGATTTTAGCAACGAGTCATCGAGTCCTACGTTGCGGAATGTGCGGATATTGAATTGATGAAAGTACGGCGTAGCGTGGCTAGAATTTCGTGTATGTAATTGCGTATTATTTATTATTGGGGACACACAGGATAAAATTATCTTTTTATGGAAAACTCTACGTTTACTTATATGTACATATAAACGCTATGTACATATAGCATCGATCGGACGTAGATGCACCATATGTAATTATTCTTCCTTGTATGATATGATGATACATGTGAATTAACTTGGTCGTGGGGTGGTTGCTCTGTAGAAAGAATTTGCATGATTTGTTGGTCTCGCACCGTGGCGTGGTGTGTATGACAAGAACAATTAACCTAATTTCGAACTGAAATGCACAATTCGTCCGTCATCCGTGTGTAACTTTTGCTCAAATTGATTTATTTAATCAAATCGATTCTTCCAAAAACAAGCTAAAATAAGATAACTTAAAATTCTGGCACAATATTTCAGTCAAATAATAAAACTACACTATATTTAGCTGCGCGATTAAAAATAAGATACAAAATAACTGCGATAAATTAAACTTTGCGGCTGCCTTATCGAAATTTGGCTACTTTTTGGAAAATTTAGTACGGCATGGTTGCCTCCTGGCTCCACTTGTGAGTATCGTTGATGTGCTTGTGCCAGTCGAGATTTTGCTGCTGGAGGGACTCCCCCCTTTCCGCGGCTGCCTTGCCGGACATGACCATCGCCCCACTCGCCACGACAGCGGCAAACATGAAGATCAGGTTCATACGAACGATTGCCAAACTCCGGGCTCGGTGAATAACGTTCCCACTGCAAAACAAAAAATTATCACAAATTTTAATCAAGATCCAGATAATAATCATGGCATGAAATTGGGCATGAGTTATATGTAAATGCTTACTCGATAAGTCTGGGAATCGCATCTCCCTCAACGTAGTGACCACTCCATCGCAGGAAAACACGGTCGAGCGTGGTCGGAATCAGTTTTGGTTTCGGGGGTCCTAAAATTTCAAAAATATTAGTTTAAAATATTAGTTTAGTTTTAAAAAATTCCAGGAAATTTATCCTCTTAAACCTCACCAAGCGAAAACGGTCCACTATACGCAGGAGAACATGACGCCGTGGCGGATGCTGTTTGCCCCAGTGTTCTAATCGGTTGAAGAAACGTCCCACCGATAAGATGCCTCGTTACCGCGATGGGTTTCTTGCTGGGATTTATAGTCAGGAAATTCATGGCGATTCAGATTTCAGTTCAGTTCAGCTTTATCCAAGGTTCAGATTTCAACTTTTTATTTATGACGAAAACTTTTCGTACTAAAAATTTCCGAGTTTTATTTATACCAGGGACACAAAAAAGGATTAAGTTTCGGTTTAAGAGGAATTTGAAATCAGACTGATACCAAATGCAGGACAGCGTCTCCATTTTATACGGAAGGGCTTCCCCGACTACGTGCCGCAGCCAAGAAGACTGAACTAAACCACTAATTGCTTTGATCTCACTTCTTATTACATGCATGGCTGAAGAAGTGCATGCATAATAACAGTCAGTCAGTCATATTTAAAATACATGCATCCACAACAACAATCTGGCCTTACTTCTTATTTACTGATGGAAGTACATACGAGAAGCTTTGCCCATCCTGCAATAATAAATTATTATGACTCCACTATGTCGAAATGCAATGCAATTCAGCAATGCATATTTTGCTATTTACCAACAACAAAATTATTTGCATGAGTGAGGAAGTAAAACTAAATAATATGAGGCGAGGGATGTGTCTCTAACCCCTCGTAACGCATATTTATGTATGATTTAACCCTTTTACATATCTATAATACACGGCACGTTGTGCTGTCAAGTTCTCATAATAATATCAAGTTTCTACCGTTGTAAGATAGTTCGTTAAGCCTTATTTAGCTCGCCATATCATAAATTTCTTTATGCACTTCTATTGTGTATGCATATATTTACTTACATTACACGAGCCCAGGGAACGTGAGCAGAGACAGGTCCACCACGCAAAGTCAGTGTCAAATCCATCACCAGCAATGTTTTTTTGGCCTATTTAAAGCCTCTCTGGAACTTGTTTATGTATTTATAGCGTCACATTAATTGAGGATGACTTTCATTAAATTAGAAATCACGGAGGGTTTAAGCCTTGAAAGTTTTTTGCATACGGTGAATTTGCTTATGCAAAATTATGGGGCATATTATTCTCTCCTCGGTTCGATTTTCCTGCGGTTTAGCACATAATCATAAACTGGAGAAGAACAAGCAATCAGCGTCGTCCTTAATGGGAAGACAAGACAAGTACCACTTGTTAACAGCGTGGCCATTATCGTCCATCAAATTGTCACTGTGTGCTAGACGAGTATGTAAGAGATCAATAAATACGTGTTTTCACACGGAGGAACAACTTTGTCTTGTGGTGACGACGACACCTCACCGTGATTTTATTTTATGGCTTATCTGTCACTTCTTATTGTTTACTTGGAGTTTATAAATGTTATCTTGCTCAAATTTTGAACTATTTTCATACCACGCAAAAAACTTACTTTTAGTTAGTTATTTGTAACTTTGATAAGAAAGTTATAAATGCTTAGACAATTTTTACAAAAATTTCCAGCTTGGAAAATTAGCCGCAGTTTGTGAATGTACCTTTATTTTGGAAATGTTTGGATAAATTAAACTAATTTTGCAAAACTTATGCTTTTTTGTATTAAAAAGTACTTTGATAACATTTTGATGAATTTTAATGGTCACATTTCGGTATCTCCAACTATAGAATAATAATAATTTACTCTTGAAAATTCCTCAAAATTTATAAAAGCCTCATTTGTCCGAGCGTTCGAATATATCTCAAAATAAATACGTTATTTCATTCATAAACAAAATTCAAAACGACCTTAAACCCAAACAAATTCACAAAATAAATACGTACAAAAACATCATTTCTTCGCACGTACTAAAATTATGCAAATCATGGAAGGTCATGTTCTCCAAAAGTGCATCAACACAAAACAAGCCCAACGTCGTCATCCACCTCCACCTCCTTCTTCCTTCCTACTTGAATAAAGTTCTGGCTGCATGCATAAATAAAATCAGCAGCACTTTAAGAAGACGTCACTCCTCAATCCAAACGCAGAGGAGCTTAAAACCATATCTTAGCCAACAACTCGACGTGCACTTTATGATGTGACCCAACCAACTTCAACTCCACTTTACACTTATCATCCTCAGTCAACAGAAGTGAAGCTGGCGTCCTTCCTGCTGCTTGGCCTTATCGTCAGAGAGATGAACCTATCTACTTAAATAATATCGCCATTATTATCTCCTTGGCCCAGCAGCAGAACTCTTCTTTGGAGAACTGTTTTGATTTTAAGGGATTATGATCAGCGTTAAAAGGCTGCTGAAATGGCAAAGGTAGTCGCAGCAGCAGGAGGAATTTTACTTAATAGGATCTCCACTACATTAAAGGTCTTAATTAAATCCTGACGATGACGGGGTGTCATTAATTGTGAAGGAATTTCATATTTCAAAAGTAAGCCAGCCTCCTTTCACTGCGATGAGAAATATGTAGTTCACCCGGGCAAAAGTAATTTTATTAATCCGATTAAAATCTGGGTGGAGAATTTTTTTAATTTGGATTAAATACGTGCGTCACAGAAGGACTGTTTTTTATAAAAATTTAGGGACTCAACAGATTTTTGGGAATGCTCACATGAAAAGAGTTTACGATTTACTAACTGCGCCATTAAATTCCCATCATACTAACAAACTTGCAGCCTATTATGTATTAACCAAAAGCCGGAAATTCTCCCATTCTTGGTGATTAACACGGTACATAAAAGCATAAATAAATGAGCTGCAAATCTGCACCCACCATTTCATCACTTTCCCAGCAATTGAACATTTTATAGACATCGCTCCACTTCCAATACAGATCTTTCATTACACGGCTAAAACCAACCACAGCGGAAAAATTGGGATGAATATCGAACAAAAGTTTTGTTTTATGAAGTGAAATCATATCATTATTTGTCGTCTCTCTCGTCCATGAAAAGAAAGTAACCCGCACTTTTACTTTTACGTCAAGCAGACATCATAACATGAGCAGAGGGCGGATATGTATTTACGACTGAAACGCTGAAATATTTATGAAATATGTACCAAAAAAATAAACAAAATTCGCAAAATTTGTGCTTCTGAATATAATGCTCAGAATTGTTTTTTGCAGTCGAATTTCTTTGAGCAAAAAAAATTCGTATCAAATCTTGAAATATTTACAAAATATTTCGATTTCAGAAAATTTGACAAAATAAATAAAGACTAAACATATTTACAAAATGTATGTATTTTTGAACAAATATGTAAAATATTTGCGTATTTTTCAAATAAATAGCGGAAAAATTATAAAAATTTATATGTTTACAAACCTAGAAATATGTGAAAATATGTGAAAATATTTTGAAATTTTTACAATCTATTCGAGTAAGCCAACACTCCCACAAAGTTTGACCATCGGTCGTCACCAAACGAAAAATTTGAAAATAAATACATATCCACCCTCTGCCCATAATACTACAGCGTTCCTTCCTTCCTTTTTTATGTATGTATGTCGTCCTCATTTTGCCATCTTATGAGCGATGAAACCCAGGATTAATTTTTGCCGTTTCTTCTTTCTCTCTCCACTTTATGGTGAAAAGGGAAAGTTTTGGCGCATGAAAAACTTGTAAAGTCCCTCATGTGTAAAATAAAGTGACGGGATTAAGTATGTAGACTTGGTAAACTTAAACTGTCTCAGACACAACAGAACAGAACAGAACTCTTCATATTCAAATTTTATTTCATTTTATCAACCATCCAACTAAATTCGGGGTATTAAACTTTTTAAGAAAAAAAGTGTTCTCGCCAAAAAAAAATTGAGTAGTTGTTTCATGTTCAAGAAGAATAAAATTGTAAAATAAGAGGTAGACAGGAAAACTGTTTGAAAAATGTTGTGCTGCTCTTGTCAAGCTCCTTTTTTTAGCCCGAGCGAGTGGAAAATAATCGATACTTGATACAAAGGGGAGGATTTTTTGTTTCATACAGAAAAAAATAATGAAGGACGACGACCACAGGCTAAGAACAATACGACCACAAGTAACAAAACCGCACGAAATATTGTGTAATTAATGAGAACAAAGCCAGCTTATGTACGTAGTGACGAAAGTGGGAGTGGAATTAAAAATGCAATTATTTCTCTGTAAAGTTCAGAATGAAAATTTATTTCGTAATTCGGGTTTTTGTTTTGTTTTCACAATTTTATTCATATAAATTCATAATCCGCATTTATATGAAAACAAAGCGAGGTTATGTATGTATGCAATGACGAAAGAGGGAGTAGCATTAAAAATGCAATTATTTAATTCTGTCTAAAATTCTGAATGAAAATTTATTTCGCAAGTTTTTTTCTCACAATTTTATACAAATTCATAATCCGAATTATGAACAACAGGCAGTTCTTTTAGGATCCGCAGGCAGGCTGGCACCTAATATACAAGCCTCGCCTCTGTTGCGCCAGACAGGATTGGCAGGCATAGGAATCTCTCCGATTGTTATTATTGTTGAACGAGCCACACCCAATGCAACCCACCCTCAAACCTCGTCGCTGCTGGGCTAAACACGTGTCACAAAATGAGGGGCGAAATTGGCGTTTTTCTCGCTCTTCGGATTGCTCATCTGGGGATGAAATTAGGCATTTACCATTTGCGACATGGTGTATACATATAAATTCATGAGCCAGCTTATCTATCTAACCTTCACCTGCATCGTCTTCCCCGAGATCATTGTCAACATCGTTATCGGCCTCGTCGTCACCGTTATCGTCTTGACCAAGTACTTGTTCCGATTGGGACAGGAATGTTGCCAAACCGAGGAGAAGAATCGTCCAGACTGCGAATCGAGACATTTTGTAAATTAAACTTAAATGTTCACAAAAAAATCCAAACTGATTAGATATTGATGGAAAATGTTGACTTTATAAAGAATGAAAAATGTGTTTACAAGGAAAAGGTTGACCAATTAAGTAAAAGAGCCACATCCTTTCGGTAAAAAAAGCTGAAAATAAATAGGGAACGAGGAAAGTGGACGGTGGAGGTTAGGTTGCTGGAAAAGTTGACCAGTGTTTCGTTTCTTGCGGGTTTGCTAAATTTCTTGTACTGAAAAACAAGAAATGCAAGTAATGCGAGGTGCAAGAAACTGGGAGAAAGTGCAAGAAATCTAGACATGAAGTACAGCGACAGGTCGTAGTTTGTTGCATTTCTTGCAGATCAAAATCGCTACAAAAACCACTTTCTTGCCGTTATTTCTTGCAAATGGTTACTTGCTTTTACCCGAAACACTGGTCGGCCGTTGAGTTTTACTAATAATCCAAGATCACAGATAACAGCTCTCCGTACTGGATTATAGAGTGACCAATTAAAAGAAAGTATACAACCAAACCAGCAGTTTTCTTATTGCCTGGCTTGACTCATCCAGCCCCAGAATATTGATCGTTAAATGTTCCCCGTTAAATTACAATGTTTCCTTTCCGTCTAAATTTTCCAATTGACATGCGAACACGGTGAACATTGTCGTCTCGTCGTCAGTCTTGTCAATTATTCGGCCAATTAAATAATTAAACTTTGCATGCACCTCATCCATAATGGCGGCCATTTTGCGGGGTACGTAATTCCCAAAAATACCTACCTACGTAGATACATGTCAGAATACCTCTTCTTACATCACGGCAGGATCGAGAAAGTCGAAAATTCCTGGGAAAATAAACGGTGGTCGTTCCCTCATCTTTCCTACACTCACACGCAATCGGGGAATTGACATTTACCTAAATTAGACATAGGCGGCCATGGGCAGGCAGATCGCGAGCAATAAAATTTTCCATCCAAGAGTAGAATAAAGCCCGAAAATCGGTGCAATTCAGTCGAATTAATGGCACACTTTGGCCAGGAAAATCGAGGCAGGAGGAGAGACTCCTTCCAACTATTTCGCATTACACGTTATTCTGCATTCATTCCATTATTAGAGAATTGATAACTAAAAGGCGAAATTAATTTTAGGTTGGTCCTCCTCCAACCAAACCCTCTCTAATTCAACTGCTCAGTCTCCCATTGCATATGTAACCAGTGTTTCGGGTTTGCTACATTTCTTGTAAAGAAATGCAAGAAATGCGAGGTGCAAGAAACTGGGAGAAAGTTCAAGAAATATACGCCATCTAGCCACGCGCTGTTTAAACTATAGCGCGTAATTTCTCGCGCTTTATACTTCTTGCAGGTCAAAATACGTGCAAGAAACCACTTTCTTACGGTTATTTCTTCCATTGCAAGCCACGAAATGCGAGGTGCAAGAAACTGCGAGAAATGCGCTCAATTTAGCCACGCGCAGTATGAAATCTAGCGTGAAATTTCTCACGCCTTGCATTTCTTGCACGTAAAAACACCCGCAAAAAACCACTTTCTCCCCCTTATTTCTTGCAAATGCTTCCTTCCCCCCGACACCCTGTGCTCCTAACGTGGCATTAATTTGTCCATCCTGGTCTGGCCTGAACCTCTGAACAAAATCCCATTTCGAAAATGAGGCAATCTCTACATCCATACATATTTTTGGCTGACCGACGAAAAGCCTGAAAATTATTTACACGAAACTCATCTAAAATGAGTGGAATTCAGAGGGGAGGGAAACATTCATTTTCATGAGTCCAAAAACCAATCCAATCCAATATTGAGCACTTCATTCTTTTAGCATGTGAGGCAAAACTAGCGGAAAATGAGTTCCTCCATTCGATTCAGGCGAACTTTGTGGCGATGCTGGTGCTTACTTTCACTCACTCAATGCTGAAAAACTTCTTACTTTCCCTTTGTACATACATACTTACTCACTCACATATTTGGCCAGTAGAGAACACCAAACTCGTGGAATACTTTGTCCATATTATGAGAGGCATGTGTTATGTGTTGCTTGTTTGTTAGTGTAGTGGGAGAAAGGCTACATTGTACGTATGTAAGCACATACATATTGTAAATATCGATTAATCAATCAACCACCCGTCCAACAATATGCATACAAACATTCATTTCGTACTGAAATCCACGCTCCCCTCTCCTCAAGGGAAAGTTTTTGTCCAGCCTAATACCAGACCACCACGTCCACGATAATAATACAGCACGGGGAAACGGGACGTTTACTTACTCGCAGGGAAAAGTTTGGACGGGAACAAAAGCACCCAACAAAACGGTATGTGCATATGTACATGGCAAGTGTAAATATGGACTGGGTTGTCAACCCGTGAAGGATGATGGTGAATAAACAAAAGGCAATTTATTTATTAAATTAGTCCCGTTTTTTGGAGGGGGGAGAGAAAATGGGGAAATTTTATTTTTTGGAAATTATTATTTATTTTTTAGTTTGATTTTGAAGCCAATTAATTGGCCAATTAATAAAATTAGATCGAATTTGAATTTTGGTTAGTTCGAATTCGAAAAGTAAAAATGCTACCGATTTTGTCACGAATCTTAAAATTACTTTTAAATGTGCAAAACGGAAATTTTGTCAAATCGGGCAGAAAATCACACAATTTATTATATTTTCCAAAATATATTTTTTACTCTGCAAAAACTGTAAAATGGTTATATTTATATTGATGTTAGTTTTATGCTTTATTATTACTCATCAACTTTACCTAGAGGAAGGTATTTTAGCACAAATAAGAGGTTTTTCACCGTAAAAGTGAATGGCTACCTCAATTCTTGTGTGTGATTAGTGGTCTCACATGGGCACTGAAAAGTCCGAAATGGCCCCATTTTATGTTAGACCCTCCGAATAAAACAAATGCAGCGGCTTTCTTTTTCTCGAAAGGATGGATCTCAAAGTAGGTGACAGACTTTGAGAGCGAGATTGAGTTTGACCAGGCGGAAATTATTATGGGGACCTTTACTTACATGCTGTTTTGACCGCAAGTAATCCATAGAATTTCTCCATGTGTGGATAAATCTGGTGGATAAAACTTTCCTCCTCGTTGGTCACATTTGTGCTGAGAGTGCGAAAGGAAACTGGGCTAATGATCCACCCACCAGAGACAGAGAGACAGCAAAAAGTGGACCAACCATTCATGCACGGAGCCTCTGTCCAGGACAGGATTTTACTGCCCTTTCGCGTCAACGCGGCTTAATTATGTATCGTCCTTCTTGGACTAAAACTTATCTGCTATGCCAAGTCAAAGTGGACGAGTTTCCACTTTACGTTTGGGTTAAAATGAGACGGTTTTGATCAATTTTGACGACGTAGCGAATTTATTAAAAATCTTGTTAATTACGAAATTTAATAAATAAATAGGTAGAAATATTTGTCGTTCAAAGGAATTGATTTCTAGTAAATTAATTATTTCGCTAATCAATTAAATCGTCTTTTTTTGCTAAATTCAGTATTTTTAGAATTGCGACCCTTTAAAGCGTCATTTTATCCAAAAATTTCACCAATAACAGATTTTGACGACGTTACGAATTCATTGAAAAAATTGTATTAATATCAAAATTTAACTAATAGATAGGAATATTTCTCCTTCAATTGATTACCTGTAAACTAATTATTTCTCTAAAGCGTCATTTTATTCAAAATTATTACCAGTAACAAATTTTGACGACGTTACGAACTTATTGCAAAAAATTTATTAACCCACCAAAATTTAATAAACAGGTAGAAATATTTGTCGTTCCAAGTAAGCAATTGATTCCCCATAAATTAATTATTTCTCCAAATCGTCACATCACACTTTGTTCGTTCTCATTTTGACAGAATGTGGAAGTAGAACTGTCCAATTATTTAGCATCGATCCAATTACATAAGCGTCTGATCGTGTCCAGCGCAATTTACTCGAAAGGAATCCACCACTCCTTCCTTCCGTCCATCACTTGAGAGTTAGTTGGTTGGTGGTTCTTAAGAAGAAACCGAGGAATTCGGACAAGTGCAACTTATCACGTTCAGCTTGTCGAGATCAGCGTTTTATCTCACTCTTACACAAATGTTGCTGCTACTTTTCCCCAAAAAAGACACATCCGTCCGTCCATCCTACTTCGACTGCCAGTAAAATACAGACTCTTGTGAGAATCCGCTTTTCGCGAATTCTTTCTTGTTCTTTTTTGTGGTGAAAGTTTTTAGCGATAGTGAGATTGGCGAATTTCTCGGAGGAATTCGCACAAGAATATTTCCAATCTAGAAAAAGTTGAGATGTGTCGGTCACATTATTTGTATTATTTCCTTTTGTTATGTCCCCGGTTAAACTCTTGGAATGAAAGTGGTCGCCTTTGTCAAGGTTTTGCGAGAAGAATGGGAAACTGTGTGGGCTTGCTGCTTTCGATTTCAATGCGATTCACACCAAGGTCCGAAATGGCAAATGTTTTACAATTCTGTCTGTGCCGAATTTCGATCAGAAATCTTCTTATTATTGAGATTGACATAACCTTCAAATGTTTTGATGCGCTTTGATGTTTGAATGATTCATGAGAAGTGGTAAATTCCATCCGAGACAGGTTTTGGGGACTTGCTTAACTTTTTATGTGACATTTCGAGAGAAAATTTTTGAACTTGACGTCGGTCAACATTTGATGATGATTAGAAAACAAAAGAAATATTTATCTTTTGATGAAATGTAGTGTAAGAATTTTGAAATTATTGGTTTCGAAAAATGCAATTTCATTAAATCCTTTAATTTTTATCATGTTGAGATGAGTATTAGCGAAAATAAAGTGCGCAATAATAAGAAAATTGCACACTTTGGCATTCTTATCTTCGACAATAAGTCATTGTGAAACGTTACATAACAATGTACATAATTCACCATTTCCCCAAATTTATTTGGTTCAGCTCAGAATCTGGATTGAAATTTATATATACCAACAATCCAAACAAAATAGTAGCGACTTTTCCATGTCACATATTTTAAAATTCTGGTGTACGTAATATAAATTGTAGCCAT